TTATAAGTCTCTCAAGCAAGACCCAGGTCTTGTACTAGCTTTTTTACACACACAATTGGGTGTTGGTCTAATTTGGGGGTCAGTGCAATCAATAATAGATCTGGGTTTTATAAGTTTTTATAAGGTTTTATACTGGCTTTGTTCCCCGCAAAATTAGAATGTGGTATAGGGTGGGTGCAATCAATTAGATAATTAGTCGTATTTTGTACATACATGGGACATATAAAAGTCATAAAGTTATTTAAATAAACTAGATATGCCTATTTGTTCTTGCAATAAGAAACCCCCCCCCCCCCCCATCTTGACTCTGCAGGCAGGAATGTGGCGTTAAGACAAACAGCTGACCAGACCCCGGGGGAGAGCGAGATGAACGCCAGCCGTGCTGTGGACGGCAACACCACACCCAACATCAGCAAGGGTGGGTGCTCCTTCACTCGGACCACAGGCTCATCGCAGTGGTCAGTTCAGTTGACCCAGCCTAGTTTTGTCTGGCGCTATGTGTTCATAGTGCCACAGGATCCAGGTAAATCTTCTACAGGTGTGGTGGGTCCAATAGGCCGAGCTGCATCTGTAATAGCTAATCCGTAGATCGTGTTGGGTTCTTTGTCTAATATAATAATACGGGGGCAACGTAACGTATATTACAATACAACGGACTCGGCAATACTAATGCTGATAATAAGTAATAATAATCATTAAAAAAGTTTTTAAAAACCCACGTTTTCTGATTGAACTAAAAAGTAGAAAATAAACGCTATACATCACAATAATGCAAGCGATCACTCTACTATAAGCGATGAAAAACGTGGGGCGCCGAAGTAAAAATTATATTACTATTGATTAGATAATACTATTGACTTTTATTAGGGAGCTTGTAGAGAGTCAACAGTATTAGAAACTGTAAGAAAATCACGGCGCCCCACGTTTTTGATCGCTTATAGTAGAGTGATCGCTTGCATTATTGTGATGTATAGCGTTTATTTTCTACTTTTTAGTTCAATCAGAAAACGTGGGTTTTTAAAAACTTTTTTAATGATTATTATTTTCTACTTTTTAGTCTTTGTCTGTTTGTTTGCATTAAAATCTTGCTATCGATTTTATCTTCTCGCATTCACTTTTGTTTTGGGTAAACGAAGACAAACACTCACAAAGGACGAACACCAAAAAATCCGATGGATTCCATCTGGTCCAAAGTCAATGCTTAAGTCGGGAATGTCTTTATCAATCTGGTCGCGTCTGAAATTTGGCCAATGGCTTTGTTGTGTGAATACGTTACTGACTAGAACACATAGATTTGAACCCGTGTCGAGTGGGATAGCAATCGTGTGCCCAACCACTCGACCATATCGTCTCCCCCAAACTGGCCTACCTCCTGTAAGTTTAAACTCGGTTCAAGCTAAATTCTCTGCCCCTAAGCCTGTGGCGACATGTGATCGTTCGCTTCACTGCGCGCGAGGTACGCGTCGCTGGTTTTTTTTCTAATGGCTAGCAGAGGAGAATTATATATATAGATTATATAGCGGTCTAAAATGCTCAATAAAATGTTTCCATTGATCAATTTAGTAATAATAACAATTGAATATTCAATGGTCATCCAAAAGAAAGCTTCCCTGAAAATTTCAGCGCGCTAGCTAACTGGGAAGTGCCAGAAATTTCGATCGCAAGATTTGATTGGAAAGACAAACACACAAACAGATAAAGCAAGTTAAAGAAAACGTGGGAAAAATAAAGAAATTAATACAAAAGATGGATATTTTTTTAAAGGCGATACAACAACACTTAACATTACAACACACTAGTTCACAACACGTCATCTCGATGTCCTTCGCAACACACTAGCACACGCTCAACTGTCAACCCTCACGTGAACACCAATCAGTCTGTGGAAACACACTCAACCAAGGGCTACAACTATGTACAAAAAGAGGGTACCCCCATATGTCGTTCGAACACACAACACACACACACAATCAGGGAGGCTATTTGTCATGCACGTAACAGATCGTAGTATAGAAATGTAGTTACAATCAGAGTTTCTTCCAGGCATCTCTTCGGGGAACCCTCCGCCCCCCCCCCCCAAAGAAAGTCTGCCGCCCCCCCCCCCCCCCCAAAGAAAGTCTGCCGCCCCCCCCCCCCCCCGAAAATTTCAAGTGCACCCCGGAGAAAAAAGTCTGGAAGAAAGTTGGAAGAAAGGAAGAAACACTGTTTACAGTTACAGTGGGCCATAAAAAGAAGATTTGACAAAGGACATTATACAACTTTGTAATATCAATCGGGTTCGCCGTATTTTGTTCTATGTCAAAGGGAAAAGAAATAATTTCGTACATCTGTTATTACACAATTTCTTACAAATAGCTGTAGTGCTCATTTAAATGCCCTTAAACATAAACATAAATAATAAGCTAACTTGGTTCAGTTTTATTTAGTGAATTGCATCCCCTGAAACTTTAGATGCACTATTCTCATAACTATAGTGTAATAACAGGTAAACATCACAAATATATTCATCTATCCCCTAGAAAACAACAGTCCCCTACCGACACTAAAACTAACCAGCAGTAGCATATACGGGCCTACAATATACATCTCAGTGGATGCGACAGCAGGCGTGTACACATACATACCAGACCAGATGCAGTATGTCAAGACTGTCATGGTGGAGGTGCCGGCTGATGACAAGAATGTCAGCTCGCTGTCCTTTTGTGAGGTGGAGTTGTATGGGGGTCAGTTGACTTGTTTCTATTGGTCAGTTGACTTGTTTCTAGTTGTCAATTGACTTTTTTCTAGTGGTCAGTTGACTTGTTTCTATTGGTCAGTTGACTTGTTTTTTCTAGTGTTCAGTTGACTTGTTCCTAGTGGTCAGTTGACTTGTTTCTAGCGGTCAGTTGACTTGTTGTTTCTAGTTGTCAATTGACTTTTTTCTAGTGGTCAGTTGACTTGTTGTTTCTAGTGGTCAATTGACTTGTTGTTTCTAGTGTTCAGTTGACTTGTTTCTAATTGTCCGTTGACTTGTTTCTGGTGTTCAGTTGACTTGTTTCAAGTGGTCAGTTGACTTGTTGTTTCTAGTGGTCAGTTGACTTGTTGTTTCTAGTGGTCAATTGACTTGTTGTTTCTAGTGGTCAGTTGACTTGTTGTTTCTTGTTGTCAGTTGACTTGATGTTTCTTGTGGTCAGTTGACTTGTTTCAAGTGGTCAGTTGACTTGTTTCTAATGGTCAGTTGATTTGTTGTTTCTTGTGGTCAGTTGACTTGTTGTTTTTAGTGGTCAGTTGACGTGTTGTTTCTTGTGGTCACTTAACTTGTTGTTTTGAGTGGTCAGTTGACTTGTTTCAAGTGGTCTTTTGACTTGTTTATTGTGGTCAGTTGACTTGATGTTTCTAGTGGTCAGTTGATTTGTTGTTTTTAATGGTCAATTGACTTGTTGTTTATTGTGTTCAGTTGACTTGTTGTTTCTAGTGGTCAGTTGACTTGTTTTTTTTAGTGGTCACTTGACTTGTTGTTTTTAGCGGTCAGTTGACCTGTGTTTCTTGCGGTCAGTTGACTTGTTGTTTCTAGTGGTCAATTGACTTGTTGTTTCTAGTGGTCAGTTGACCTTTTGTTTCTAGTGGTCAGTTGACTTGTTGTTTCTAATTGTCCGTTGACTTGTTTCTAGTGTTCAGTTGACTTGTTGTTTCAAGTGGTCAGTTGACTTGTTGTTTCTAGTGTCGGTTGACTTGTTGTTTCTAGTGGTCAGTTGACTTGTTGTTTCTAGTGTTCAGTTGACTTTTTTCTTGTGGTCAGTTGACTTGTTGTTTCTAGTGGCCAGTTTTACTTGTTTCTAGTGGTCAGTTGATTTGTTTTTGCTTCTAGTAGTCAGTTGATTTGTTGTTTCTAGTGGTCAGTTGACTTGTTGTTTCTAGTGGTCAGTTGACTTGTTGTTTCTAATGGTCAGTTGAATTGTTGTTTCTAATTGTCCGTTGACTTGTTTCTAGTGTTCAGTTGACTTGTTGTTTCTAGTGTCAGTTGACTTGTTGTTTCTAGTGGTCAGTTGATTTGTTGTTTCTAGTGGTCAGTTGACTTGTTGTTTCTAGTGGTCAGTTGACTTGTTTCTATTGGTCAGTTGTTTTGTTATTTCTAGTGGTCAGTTGACTTGTTTCTTGTGGTCAGTTGACTTGTTTCTAGCGGTCAGTTGACTTGTTGTTTCTAGTGGTCAGTTGACTTGTTGTTTCTAGTGGTCAGTTGACTTGTTGTTTCTAGTGGTCAGTTGACTTGTTGTTTCTAGTGGTCAGTTGACTTGTTGTTTCTTGTGGTCAGTGGACTTGTTGTTTCTTGTGGTCAGTTGACTTGTTTCAAGTGATCAGTTGCCTTGTTGTTTCTAGTGGTCAGTTTTACTTGTTGTTTCTAGTGGTCAGTTGACTTGGTGTTTCTTGTGATCTGTTGATTTGTTGTTTCTAGTGGTCAGTTGACTTGTTGTTTCTTGTGGTCACTTAACTTGTTGTTTTGTGTTGTCAGTTGACTTGTTTCAAGTGGTCAGTTGACTTGTTTCTTATGGTCAGTTGATTTGTTGTTTCTTGTGGTCAGTTGACTTGTTGTTTTTAGTGGTCAGTTGACTTGTTGTTTTTAGCGGTCAGTTGACTTATTGTTTCTTGAGGTCAGTTGACTTGTTTCTAATGGTCAGTTGATTTGTTGTTTCTTGTGGTCAGTTGACTTGTTGTTTTTAGCGGTCAGTTGACTTGTTGTTTCTTGTGGTCAGTTGACTTGTTGTTTCTAGTGGTCACTTGACTTGTTGTTTCTAGTGGTCAATGGACTTTTTGTTTCTTGAGGTCAGTTGACTTGTTTCTCTCACTCCCAGACTCTCAGTGTCCACGTGGCCTGTTCGGTAGATACTGCCAGTACGAATGTAACTGCGCCGTGTCCGAGGCCTGTTACTTCTCCACGGGCGAGTGTCCCTCAGGCTGTGCCCCTGGCTTTTACGGTGAAGGTTGCAGGTCAGGTGAGTAGGGTGATTTCAGGTGGGTAGGTCATGGGACTGGACAGTTCAGTCGTGTAAGTCATAAGTCAAGTAGGCCATATAACTCTGGGTCAGTTAAGTCACGGTGTTTCTTTAAAAGGAAAAACATAAAATACATTTTAAAATTATTCCAATTATAATATGTACTATTTTATCAGTTTCAAACTATCTTTATGGGTGTCGATCATCCAGTATGATTTATCAAACTTTTCCACTTTGTCTGCCCCCCCCCCCCCCCCCACAGTCTTATCAAACTTTTCCAATATCTGTCCCCCAGTCTTATCAAACTTTTGAAATGTCTGCCATCCAGTCTTATAAAACTTTTCAAATGTCTGCCATCCAGTCTTATCATACCTTTTCAAATGTCTGCCATCTAGTCTTATCAAACTTTTCAAATGTCTGCCATCTAGTCTTATAAAACTTTTCAAATGTCTGCCATCTAGTCTTATCAAACTTTTCAAATGTCTGCCATCCAGTCTTATCAAACTTTTGAAATGTCTGCCATCCAGTCTTATAAAACTTTTCAAATGTCTGCCATCTAGTCTTATCAAACTTTTCCAATGTCTGTCCCCCAGTCTTATCAAACTTTTCAAATGTCTGCCATCCATTCTTATCATACCTTTTCAAATGTCTGCCATCTAGTCTTATAAAACTTTTCAAATGTCTGCCATCTAGTCTTATCAAACTTTTCCAATGTCTGTCCCCCAGCTGCCCCAGCGAGACCTACGGGCTGAACTGTACCGGCACGTGCAGCCCTAACTGTGCCAGCAACAAGATCGTGGAGCCCAGCAGCTGTCATCATGTCAGTGGGGTGTGTGTCTTTGGGTGTCGGGACGGACACAGTGGAGCCAAGTGTGACAGTGTCAGTAAGTCTATATGTTACCAGCATATTATATTAACAACATATTATTTTAGCACCATATTATATTAACACCATATTATATCAAAACCATATTATATTAACACCATACCATGCTAACACAATATAATGCTAACACCATACCATACTAACACCATATCATGTTAACACCATAAAATGCTTACACCCTACGATGCTAACACCCTATCATGCTAACACCCCATCATCCTAACACCCATATTATATTAACACCATATCATGCTAACACCCCACGATGCTAACACCCTACGATGCTAACACCCCACGATGCTAACACCCCTATTATATTAACACCCCACGATGCTAACACCCCACGATGCTAACACCCCACGATGCTAACACCCTACGATGCTAACACCCCACGATGCTAACACCCTACGATGCTAACACCCTACGATGCTAACACCCCACGATGCTAACACCCCACGATGCTAACACCCCACGATGCTAACACCCTATCATGCTAACACCCCATCATCCTAACACCCATATTATATTAACACCATATCATGCTAACACCCCACGATGCTAACACCCTACGATGCTAACACCCCACGATGCTAACACCCCTATTATATTAACACCCCACGATGCTAACACCCCACGATGCTAACACCCCACGATGCTAACACCCTACGATGCTAACACCCCACGATGCTAACACCCCTATTATATTAACACCCCACGATGCTAACACCCCACGATGCTAACACCCTATCATGCTAACACCCCATCATCCTAACACCCATATAATATTAACACCATATCATGCTAACACCCCACGATGCTAACACCCTACGATGCTAACACCCCACGATGCTAACACCCCTATTATATTAACACCCCACGATGCTAACACCCCACGATGCTAACACCCCACGATGCTAACACCCTACGATGCTAACACCCCACGATGCTAACACCCCTATTATATTAACACCCCACGATGCTAACACCCTACGATGCTAACACCCCACGATGCTAACACCCCACGATGCTAACACCCCACGATGCTAACACCCTACGATGCTAACACCCTACGATGCTAACACCCCACGATGCTAACACCCCTATTATATTAACACCCCATCATACTAACACCCCACGATGCTAACACCAATGATGTATAACTCCCCAGTCTGCAACCAGAAAGGATTCTACGGCCAGTACTGTGGACAGGCCTGCAGCCAGTTCTGTAAGACCGATGAACAGAGTCCAGACCCCATCTGCCATCCTGTGTCTGGAATCTGCTTGCTGGGGTGCCAGGACGGTTATGATGGGCCACGATGTGATGTCAAATGTGAATACACTTTTAGTTTTGTATAATGGGGCACATTGTGATGTCAAATATGAATACACTTTAGTTTTTGTATGATGGGAAACATTGTGATGTCAAATGTGAACACAATTTTAGCTTTTTGTATGATTGGGCACGTTGTGATGTCAAATATTAAACTTTTGCTTCATAAAACAAAAATCAACAATTTAATTTTTCATAAATACACTCATCAACTAAATTTGCCAACTGTTTTATAGGCCTACTCTATTTATTTTTAAACCTACTGGTAAAAATTTTGTTTGGCGTAATATTATCTGCTGTTTTCCATAATGTTGCCATGAACCTAACAATCTACCAACATGAATATATTGCCAGTGTGTACCAACGACACCTACGGTGACCAATGCCAGTATAACTGTAGCTCCTACTGCCAGCGAATACCTGGCCACATGAGCTGTGACCCAGAGACTGGCGTGTGTTTAATAGGTTGCCAGGATGGATACTTTGGATTTTTTTGTGACACGGCTACAGGCAAGTCGAGTCACATTTTGTGACACTGTATAAAGCGGTGCCCCATATCACTATCTAGCTTCAGCTATATGAGCTCGTTTTAAGAAGTCTGACATCACATTAAAAAATAAATGTATCTCTTACCTTCCAAGTCTACCTTTTACATTAAGTAACAGCTATGTATAAAAGGTAAACATACCTTTACGTTTAGTTGATTGAAGTGGCCAAGCTATAGGTCCTATTAACCCTAAAAAAAGAAGAAAAAAGAAGAAAAAAGGGGGGCTTATCAACTTTTGACATGTATATCCCCCATCTTGACTGAACTGCTAAGTTAGTGATTAAGAAGCCCCGTTTGAGGCTAGACTCCAGCTATACGAGAACATTTTCTTAAATTTCAGACACAAAAAAAAATTGAGGTTTTGGGGATGCATGAAGTGAAATGTATGTAGTCAATGAGGTAACTAGGTAGGGCGTTACCCCTCTGGGTAACGCAGATATTACCCTATCCCCCTCCAACATTTTCGTATGTTGGTTTAGTGTCACTCCTCTAGCCGTACTTTTTTGTTATTTAAACGGTATAAAAATTGTTTCGCCATTAAAGGTTAACAATTTCGTTGCGGTGTCACCCCCAAAATGGTGTCACCCCCTAAATGGTGTCACCCCCTAAATGGTGTCAACCCCTAAATGGTGTCACCCCCAAATGGTGTCACTCCCAAAATGGTGTCACTCCCAAAATGGTGTCACCTGGTGTGAATATTAGGCTTACTGTGTAGCGAAAGTATGGGGTGTCCACTGAACTTTTGAAGTAACAGAAAGAAATAGTCACGTAGTTACCCTGGTGATGTGGTTGATCAGGGGTAGGATGGAGACACAGGTTGGGTTACACAGAAACATCTACGAGCTTTTATTAATTCCACGCGAAATGCTTTCCCCCTCCTTGTTTTAGAAATCTCCAGGTAACATTGATTGACCTCCCTATAAACAAGTTTTCATAGTTTTACACCTGTGCTGGTCTAGTTAATGCACCGAAATAAGCCTCATACAAAACAACAGCTTTCGTTAGTATATAATTAATATAATTGTGATTGTATTAAACGTAAAACTTCGATTTTCTAAAAAAAAATTTTAAAAACATGTTAGGATACGATCAGATTGTACACAAGCTGGTGTTCTTTTTCTATTTCTTTTCCTGGTTTCCAACGAACAGCAAGTTAAATTGATTCAATTGGACCCAATGGGCATTAGGTAAATTCCAATGCGGATTATGTAAATTCCAATGCGGATTATGCAAATTCCAATGGGAAGTTTTTGTAAGATCGGTCAGATAGTCTCTTGTCGAGAGTTACTGTTTTCAAGCTATTTTAGACAAATTCGTTTAGATAAATGCCAAAAAAGTATGTGTATTAATGAAAACATTATCAGAAATTGTTTAATTACTTATCCTGGACGTTCTACGTAACTACCACGTATTTTGTACTTAACACAGTTTGGATATTGGCGGCGAAACAACACACAAAAGTTAACAACCTCTGCATAAAACCTTCGCATCAACCTTATAAACCAACCTCCGCACCAACCTTGTACACCAACCATGTACACCAACCTTGTTCACCAACTTTGTACACCAACCATGTACACCAACCTTGTACACCAACTTTGTACACCAACCATGTACACGAACTTTGTACACCAACTTTGTACACCATCCATATACACCAACCTTGTACACCAACCTAATACACCAACCCTGTACACCAACCTTGTATACCAACCTTGTACACCAACCTTGTACACCAACCTCCACACCATGCATGTACACCAACCTTATACACCAACCCTGTACAACAACCTTGTACACCAACCTACGCACCAACCTTATAAACCAACCAAACTTTCCCCTTACTGTTCCTCAGTCTGCCCCAGCAACACATACGGTGCTGACTGTCAGATTAAGTGCAGTCCAACCTGCCTACAGAACATCAGTGTGGGGGACAGTAGCTGTCTGCAAGCTAATGGTGTCTGCCTGTATGGATGTCAAGATGGCTATACCGACTCGCACTGTCAAACCAAAGGTTCTCATTTTGTCTATACTCATAATATGCTTTCGTTTCGTGTCTATATACAATGGATGGATCAACTGTCTTTAGTGTAGGGTCTACCTTTAGCGGCCGGTCCTGCTTAAATTTCTCCCAATAGATGAAACAATTAACTTTTTTTTAAAACTGAAACGTTTAATGCCTAATTTTAGTGTTTTATTTTTTTTTGCAATTTTGCAATTATATAAAAATACTGGATTAAATAAACCGGGAGTGATCTCCCCTAAACTTTCTCGAATATTCTTATATAAAATAACAGGGGATGGGAACTCGAGCTATAGACATGATTTTTAATCCATTTTAAATACTTAAAGTTTTAAAAATAGAATAAAATCTCGTAGACAAATTAATTGCACACCAAGTGAACGCCAAATAAAAAAGCGCATAATAGTGCGCAATATTATTAGTACTTTTAAAATTTACATTAGTTTTTTGAGAAATCGGAAGTAGCGTAAATTACTACTTCCAGTCAACGGAAATTACTCAAAATGTAACAGAAGGTAGAGAATTAGATCTTTTACTTACATGTGAAATTTCATTTATCTATCTGAAATAGTACTCAAGTTATAGGCTTTTGAAAAATTCAAAGTAGGAAAAGTACCACTTTCTGTTATCGGAAATCGCTCAAAAGTTGATACTTTCTCGTATATACGAAGTATAGAGAAAGTATTGTAATCGTGCAAAAAAAAAATCGAGATTTTTACAGTTCTCGACGTTTTACACCTCACTGATACGGAAAAACATAATTTTGCAATCTTGTCCGTATGTCTGTGTGTGTGTGTGTCTGTGTGTGTGTCTGTCCGTGTGTAAACACGATAACTTGAGTACCGTTACAGCTAGGTTGATGAAATTTCATATATAAGTATTATATCAAAATCGTAGATCCGTATCAACTTTTGAGCGATTTCCGACAACCGGAAGTGGTACTTTTCCTACTTTGAATTTTTCAAAAGCCTATAACTTGAGTACTATTTCAGATAGATAAATGAAATTTCACATGTAAGTAAAAGATCTAATTCTCTACCTTCTGTTAAATTTTGAGTAATTTCCGTTGACTGGAAGTAGTAATTTACGCTACTTCCGATTTCTCAAAAAACTAATGTAAATTTTTAAAGTACTAATAATATTGCGCACTATTATACGCGTTTTTATTCGGCGTTTGCTTGGTGCGCAATGTTTTTTTTATGAGATTCTATTCTATTTTTAAAAGTTTAAGTATTTAAAATGGATTAAAAATCATAGCTATATCCCCAGTTACCATCCCCTGTTGTTTTATATAAGAATATTCGAGAAAGTTTAGGGGAGATCACTACCGGTTTATTTTTTGCACGATTACAAGACTTTCTCTATACTTCGTATATACGAGAAAGTAAAAAGGTGACTTTCTTCTACTTTCTAATTGTAATGTTGGACTGGATTTCCTCCACAATAATCGATTATTATGTGTCAACCTGTTATGCGCCTTTGATTTCAGCCTGTTTTTCTTTATGGATTTGCTTCTCTAGCCTTTGTTCAACCAAGAACAAACTACAAGGCAGGAGTTGTTTGATTTTGGATTTGTCTCTCCAAGATGGATTGCCAGAGGCGTAGCGAGGGGGGGGGGGGGTCGGGGGGAGACATGTCCCCGGGCGCCGACCTTAGGGGGCGCCAAAATGGGTTGGAAAAACAAATTGAAAGTTTGTCCCCTGGCGCCGGGAAGGGTCGTTACGCCTATGTGGATTGCTATCCCCAGCTAGAGCCTCATCTGCCTAGTGGTACAAAACTCAGGACTTTTTGACTTAGCGACCATGAGCTTTACCGACGCGACCACGCCGACCGCATGTAACTTTATGTAACATTTGTGTAACTTTATTAACGGCCACCAAAAATTACTGTCAACCTCTTGCAGTGGTGGCAGCAGTGTCAGACACATCCGGTCGTGACGCAGGGATAGGCGTCGGCGTCGCTGGCTGCGTCATTGGGATAATTTGTGTCGTCATCCTTGTTGTGGTGCTGAGGCGTCAGTTCCTGGCTGGGAGGAAACAGAAACAAAAGCAACAGGAATACATTGGAGTTATCTACCCTGGTAGTGATGGCCAGATTTATGAGACTGTTCGTAATGGTGAGTGGTAGGGGAGGGGAAGAACTTTGGTAGGGAGGTGTCCATGGGGGGGGGGGGGCATCTGGTGGTTGATGATGTTTAGGGTCATGTGGGGTAGTTGGACAGGAAGTTGGTGGTTAGGTGGACAGGAGATAGGTAAACATTGGGCAAGAGTCGTTTGATAGATGGTGGTTGAGCAAGGGTAAATAGGCAGGGGGTAGGTGGACAGGGGGTAGGTGAACAGGGGGTAGGTGGACAGGGGGTAGGTGGACAGGGGGTAGGTGGACAGGGGGTAGGTGGACAGGGGGTAGGTGGACAGGGGGTAGGTGGACAGGGGGTAGGTGGACAGGGGGTAGGTAGGCAGGGGGTAGGTGGACAGGGGTTAGGTAGGCGGGGATAAGTGGACAGAGGGTAGGTGGACAGGGGGTAAGTGATGATGATCGTGTTATATTTTACTTTTAGAACAACTGACACATTTTTTTATATCCAACAGACACCTCCTACTCAAACGCCAATGTCAACGCGTGAGCTGTGTCGGTGTGTCGGGGACATTTTAACCAGTTGGTGTAGCGTTTAGGATCTGTCTGAACCAGTTCGTGATAGTGATTAGGATCTTTCTAAACCAGTTGGTGATAGTGGTTAGGATCTTTCTAAATCAGTTGGTGATAGTGGTTAGGATCTTTCTAAACCAGTTGGTGATAGTGGTTAGGATCTTTCTAAACCAGTTGGTGATAGTGGTTAGGATCTTTCTAAACCAGTTGGTGATAGTGGTTAGGATCTTTCTAAACCAGTTGGTGATAGTGGTTAGGATCTTTCTAAACCAGTTGGTGATAGTGGTTAGGATCTTTCTAAACCAGTTGGTGATAGTGGTTAGGATCTTTCTAAACCAGTTGGTGATAGTGGTTAGGATCTTTCTAAACCAGTTGGTGATAGTGGTTAGGATCTTTCTAAACCAGTTGGTGATAGTGGTTAGGATCTTTCTAAACCAGTTGGTGATAGTGGTTAGGATCTTTCTAAACCAGTTGGTGATAGTGGTTAGGATCTGTCTGAACCAGTGGGTGATAGTGGTTAGGATCTTTCTAAAAAAGACAGTTGAAGCGAGTGTCCAACACAGCAAGCCTGGACACCTGACCTCTGGTCATACAACGGTGTTGGTCACAGCTGTGTGTGTTGCACTTGAAGTTCATAGTAACAACTTGCGAGTCGTACATGTCTGCGTTTGTGTGTGTGTGAGTGCGTGTGTGTCTCTGTGTTTGTGTGTGTCTGTATGTGTGTGGCTAGTTGTTGGTGGGTCTGTGTCTGGTCGTATGTGTATTTGTGTGTGAGAGAGTGGTTTTGTTTGTGTTTGAGTGGATGTATTTGTGTCTTTGATGTTGGTTGTGTGTGTGCTCGTGTCTGTGTGTGGTCGTGTGTGTACTTGTCTCTGTGTGTGCTAATAGGTGTGTGTGTGCGAGTGGATGTATGTGTCTGTACCTATGTGTATGGATAGATTTTGGTCATATGTAAATAGTTGTTTTTTTTAATTTTTAGTGCTTTAGGATGTTGAGTGTTGATTCTGTTTATTGTCTATGTTGACTAAATTAATATATAAAATATGTATGTGAGGATCTGTACGGAATGTTAAAAGATTTATTCCATGTATTGTAAAAACCCTTTTACCTTTTAGTTTAAACTATATTTTGACTGTTTAATTCATAATTTTCTGACTGAAATTCTTTTATAGAGTATTGTTATGTACGTGATTTTTAATGTTCAGTTTTTTTAAATGTTTTGTTGTTACAAATTATTTAAAAAAAATTAACATTAAAGAATATATACATAAAAGTATTTTATAAAAAGAATTTCAGTAATAAAACTCAGTAATAAAATAATTTCCCATTTGCTGGTTTTTTTTTAAAATTGAATGAAAGTAAGCTAAAAATTACTTGCACGTTACAAACTATGACTCACATCAAATATACAGACACACAAAAATTGTGTAACTACAATATTTATTTTAAGCAAACCTCGACTTAAGATGACGAAATATACCTGATTACACCTGAAGCTTTTCTACTTGCAGCATTTTGTTGGTGTTAACTTCGGTGAAATGTGGAGGCAGTGGCGGTGGCAATAGCCAGGTGTACACATGTACCAGGTATAGCCAGGTGTACACATGTACCAGGTATAGCCAGGTGTACACATGTACCAGGTATAGCCAGGTGTACACATGTACCAGGTATAGCCAGATGTACATATGTACCAGGTATAGCCAGGTGTACACATGTACCAGGTATAGCCAGATGTACATATGTACCAGGTATAGCCAGGTGTACACATGTACCAGGTATAGCCAGGTATACACATGTACCAGGTATAGCCAGGTGTACACATGTACAAGGTATAGCCATCTGTACATATACTAGGTATAGCCAGGTAATCACATATACTAGGTATAGCCACCTGTACACATGTACCAGGTATAGCATGGTGTACACATGTACCAGGTATAGCCAGGTGTACACATGTACCAGGTATAGCCAGTGTACACAAGTACCAGGTACAGCCATCTGTACATATACTAGGTGTAGCCAGGTAATCACATGTACCAGGTATAGCCACCTGTACACATGTACCAGGTATAACCAGATGTAAAAATGTACCAGGTATAGCCAGTGTACACAAGTACCAGGTACAGCCATCTGTACATATATTAGGTGTAGTCAGGTAATCACATGTACCAGGTATAGCCACCTGTACACATGTACCAGGTATAACCAGATGTACAAATGTACCAGGTATAGCCAGTGTACACAAGTACCAGGTACAGCCATCTGTACATATACTAGGTGTAGCCAGGTAATCACATGTACCAGGTATAACCAGATGTACAAATGTACCAGGTATAACCAGATGTACAAATGTACCAGGAATAACATGGTGTTTTAATCAGGTGAGGTACGTTCAGGAAAAGTTAAATTTATTCAGGACAACGTAGCGGCAACAACTGTTACCATTTTGTTTTTCGGTTTAAGAAAACAGTAACGTCATACAGTAGACTCAACAACAGTTTAGAGTTGAAGCATGGATTATCAGCTTACAGGAAACAAGTGTTTGCTTAACATAATAAGATATCAAGATCAATTTCAACGCATAAAAAACAAATCTTGAAGGCTTGGCAGGAAAATATTTTATTTTGACAAAACTAGAGTGAAAATTGTTTATCTGTGAAATATTGTACCATGACTAGCTTGCAAGTGTTACCATTGTTATATATATTTTAAAATCCCTTAGACTTATTTATAAAATGTCAATCGTAATTTTACACAAATAAAGCGCTTTTTGAAGCCATATAGAGGTTTTATTTTTGCTGAAAACTTCTGTAGGAATTGTTATCTAGTGCTCACACTTAGGCTACCACTCGTCCGACGTGTGTATTTGTAGAACTCATTAACATTCGCCAGCAGTCCAGGACTTAAAGAGTTCAGTGACTCTGTCTGAGACTTGAGACTATTACATTTGTCTGTCTCTAGCAGGCCAGAACTTAAAGAGTTCACTGACTCCGTCAAAGACTTAGACTGTTTTATTTGTCTGTCTACTACAGGGGTGAACTCGGCCGTTGGGCCGCTAGGGAAACAAGTCCATTAACCGCTGTAGTGGGCCATTCAAAGATTTCAATTTTTTAAATGTGTTTATGTAATTAGCCCCTCCACCGTGTCGCTTTGTTGTTATTGTATATTAGAATTCGTAAATTGATCCATGATTTTGTATTCACAATAGATTTTATAAAAATAAAAGGTTCACAAAAGTTTAAAAAATGTTAAACTATTTAAATTTTTCTAATCCAACTTTGATGTCAGCGACCGTGACTAATGAGTTAACAAGCCCCGCCTTGTGTTGTCACGTGACATTTAAATTCCCCACGGTGCATTACATCTCTGACACGACGCAGTTTTTTACACAATTTTAATTATTTTTTTGGCACCAAATGTGATAAGATTTTTACACCTATATTAAAGCCCCCGAGCTCAGTCTAAGGTTTGTGTTGTCACTAAACTGTGAGGCTGACATTTTGGTGGTAAGTACAAATATTTTGTGTCAGTTTTTTTTTTTAAAGAGGAACAAGAAAACAAACAGGAAAAGAAAGTATAGATTGCCCGTGTCCTCTGGTTTATCTATGGAGACAGTAGCCAATACGTTATAAGGCGGACCCTCATAACTGAAACTATATTGAAAGGAAGCTCAACTAAAAACAGAACATGTAATTTAAAGAAAACATTAAAATTCTTTAAAAATTATAGTCTGTGATACAATCTTATCATTGAAAATGAACTAAAGAAACCTCAATCAACAAAACAAGCTGTACATTGCGTTATACAACAGGGCCGCCGTGTGATACATCTACGCGGCGAAGTTGATTTATATCAGAGCATTTAGCTGTTGGGTAAATTCCAGTGACCAGTACTACCTCACATCGCCCATGGGTTATATTCTCAACGCACTGGTATTATTTGGGATTTGTAGGCTACCCAGAATCAAGCTCAAACTGAAGGCCAGAAATGTTCACGCTTAAAATAGGATACTTTTTCTTGTTATAAATTACAATTTGTCTATTATTTTATGATTAAATCAATACTGATATAACGGCGCTTATAATGTACATTTATATGTTTGAAGATATCTTTATTGTAAGTTGTTATTTAGTAGCAGCCAAGTTTGTGGATCGAAATCCGCGATCGGGATTTAGCACAATTTACCGAACAGTTCTGTTCCTTACTTGACATGTAGTTCAAGATCCGATGACAATGCTATTGGAAGTTACTTTTAAATAATTTTTTTTCAATTATTTTTAAAATAAATTGATGATTACTACATACAATACAATAATGCAGGGGCGTAGCGAGGGGGGGGGGGGGGGCGGGGGTGCGGACCGCACCGGATGACACCATTTAGGGGGGTAACACCAAGGCAAAAATAGCAAAATATATAAACAAAACTTGAAGGGGGGGGGTGCAAATCGAAAATTTGAGGGGGGGTGCAAATTGAAAACTTAAAAGTTTGTCCCCGGGAAAGGTCGCTACGCCTCTGGGGGTGACACCATTAAGTGCCGCACCGGGTGACACCCGACCTCGCTACGCCACTACAATAATGTCATCTTCTTACAGACAGATTCGTGAGTTCAATAAAAAACGTGTTTCAGTCATGCGATTGCTTCACGCTGAAAGTAACATAAATTATAGATATATAATAAGAAACATGTATATATATATATATATATATATATATATATATATATATATATATATATATATATATATATATATATATATATATATATATATATATATATATATATATATATATATATATATATATATATATATATATATATATATATATATATATATATATATATATATATATATATATATATATATATATATATATATATATATATATATATATATATATATATATATATATATATATATATATATATATATATATATATATATATATATATATATATATATATATATATATATATACTAAAACTTTAAAATTAGTTTAGTAAAAAGAGTTTATATAAATATAATAATGCATTACTGGGTCGCTCATTCACTTGTCACCTGGTGTATTCCGAGTATTTTAATGATTGCAATAGACCTGGAAAATATGATAAACAGCCGGTTAAACTACTTTAGGGGTGCCGTGTGCCATCCTTGGTCCGGCTGAGTCATCGAGTATAGGAGCCTACCGCAGTGGCGTAGCGAGGTCGGGTGCTATTTTTTGCCTTGGTGTCACCCCCCTAAGTGGTGTCACCCGGTGCGGTCCGCACCCCCCGCCCCCCCCCCCCCCCCCCTCGCTACGCCCCTGGCCTACCGTATCACTGAAGTAGGGCCCTCTTTGAAACGAATGTAAGCGCCTTCACACGATCTCTGGGGTGCCGTTAGAAGCCTCTTGATGTTGTATACTTTACAAGCTCACACATGTTTATGGTGACAGGATAAATGGTGTAGAAATACATTTAAAAAACTAACAAACAATGAAAATAAAGAAATATCTGTACCTATATTTATACAAAAAAGAGAATGATTAGTTCATCTGCAAATAATTTATCGCATCAGTTTACATCACTTCGTTAACTACTTTTCGTCAGATCTTTGACATGATCACTCAAAAGAAGTTTTATAACGGCTATTTGTGTTGCTTTATATCTCCATGTTTTATTTTTAGATTGACGTCTCACTCAAGATGGCGATTTGTTTATTACGGCTATTTGTCTTAGCCCTGGTGTCTGCTGAAGTTACTGGACACTTTGGTTTACTGTGTACGTTTTAAGCTTATTTAAACTTTACATCTGGGTAGCTGTTTGAATCATTGGATATATATATATATATATATATATATATATATATATATATATATATATATATATATATATATATATATATATATATATATATATAATAGGACGTGCTGGCTACATTATTAAAACTTAAGTACTTTTAGTAATTGCAATAGTGAACGAAAAGAAAAATGAAGTAGTTAATTAAAGACCAGGAGTTTGAATCACATTATAGTTGTTTGTGAACTAACGATCACCTTTTGTGAACTAACGATCTCCTTTTGTGAACTCCTCAGTTGGTAACAAAGTCAGAGGTCAGAACGGTGGTCAAGTCAACGTGGGGGGTGGGGGGAGACTTAACGGGCAGCAAGAAATTCTCATTGGGGGTGGGGGTGGTTTTAAAGGAGGTGAGCGTGGTGGTATCAAAGTTGGGGGCGAGATCCGTGGTGGCGGTCAAGGTCACGGAATAGGTCTTGGGTTAGGTCTAGGACATGGGCAAGGGCAAGAACAAGGTCATGGTCAAGGTCAAGGGCGTGGATTAGGTCTAGGTCTAGGTCTTGGACATGGACGTGGAAAAGTGCAAGGGCAAGGACAAATACAAGGACAGGGGCATGGAATAGGTCTAGGCCTTGGACGAGGACGTGGAAAAGGACATGGTCTAGGCCTTGGTCTTGGACATTGGTTCCGAAATAGGTTCGGCCATCGTCAATTACCAGGAAAAGGTAATCACGGAAGCTGTTGATTTATTTCATATTTCTAGTCATTTATTTTATTCCATTAATATTTATACTTACTTAATTAAATTATATATATATATATATATATATATATATATATATATATATATATATATATATATATATATATATATAGAGAGAGAGAGAGAGAGAGAGAGAGAGAGAGAGAGAGAGAGAGAGAGAGAGAGAGAGAGAGAGAGAGAGAGAGAGAGAGAGAGAGAGATTAGTAATGTTTAACAAAAGTGTGTATTTTTCTATTCTATATCCCTTTAGGCGGCATTGAAATTGAAGATTTTGAAATCTATTGGTCAAAGCCTATTCTTGATTTTTGTAAGTTCTGTTTTAAATTCAACTATAATAAAAGTTTCTTCAATTTTACCAATGAATCACTAATGCAATACAATATTTATTTAATAATAATTCCTATTCATGCCAATTTGTAAAATAATATAATTTTTTTCCTTTTTGGAAAATGTATGTTATAAGTAGGTTATAATGACACTCGTTTATCCATAATATATCAACTGTTTTTCAGCATCTTTTGGCAAAGAAATCCAATCGGTTCTGAAAGAAAAACGTAAGATCTACGGAGATATTCTACTGGCAATTGACGCCTCCAGTGGGATTGAGGAGACAAACTTCCGTAAGGGCTGCAAATTTGCCGCGGACTTCGCGAAATACTTTTCCGTTGGCGACACTTCTGCCAGGTTTGGAGCGCTGCTCTTCGGTGACGTGCCTAAAAAAATCTGCAGTTTGGGCACGTTCAACAACAACAAGGACGTGGCCAGGGTAAGGTGGGCTCTTTCTTTTCACGATGCCATTAGAAAAAATAGTAAAATGGCATGTATTTAAGTAAGAAGTTTCAGATCTCTTTAGACCTAGTGATCCATTGGGCAGATGAAGTAAGCTCATATGTTTCTTGACATCGGCATATGAAAGAAAGGTGTGGTCAGCACTTTGCCCAGCCGCCTTTACTTTTCCTAACATGAGTTAGGTACCCATTAGAGTTGGTGGACTCAAGGACTAACCCGGATACGAACTCGAGACTTTCGTGTCAGCTTAGGTAAAAACGTCCCATCCAATAAAATGTTGAAACACTTATTTTAAAGACTTTATGTTAAATGATGTTTTAAACCTATAAATGTTAAAATTTAAGCTTTTCATCAGCGTATTGTTTACATTTAAAGAAAAATTGAAATATTTAAAATGCACGCACAAATACAAATTTGACTTGAAAATAATGCTTGTTTTCTTAAGTTACTATCGGTTTTTATTTTAGGTAAGATAGGGTAATGATTCTAATTAACTATGCCTAATGATCATTACAGGAGATCTACTACGCCCAAAGAATAAACAAGAGACGTGAGACAAACACTCACCTGGCCCTCGATCTGATGATAGAAAGTAACTTGTTTGACATCGAGGCTGGAGGTCGCGCTGATGCCCCGGATATTCTCATTCTGATTGGTGGGAGCAAATGCTCGAACAAAGCAAAGAGTGAGTGACGTAACAGAGGTTTCTATAACGTATTAATTAAAACACACAAGGTAGTTGATAACTTCAGCAAATATATAAGAATATAGAAAGGTGTTAGTAGTCGTATAACAATACTGCAGGTAACAACACCAGTTGGTAAATCTAGATCTGAAACTTATTGCTAAATTTAAATACCTTACATTGTAGAAATTTATTGTTTCGTGAATTATTTGATTTCATGTTCACTTGTCATTAAGCAATGTACCAAGTTTCTAAACCCCTTTACAACTTTAAAATCGTATCACTCATCTATTTTCTTTATTTGACGTTCACGCTTTAAGATTTGATGTGATTTAAAAATATAGTTATAGTAGCCTGTAGTTAACTACACAATGTAAACAGACATGAATGTCTTTAATTCCAGCCCTATAAGCCTGCAGTAAGATATACAATGTAAGTAGGTAATAAATATCTTTGATTCCAGCCCTAGCAGCAGCCAACCGCTTAAAGAACCGAGGCGTGCTCATCATCACCGTCTCTGTGGGAACTGAGGGCAGCGCGGACCTTCAAGAGATCTCCAGTAGCACCAGCAGTTTCTTTAGCGCCGTGTCTTTTGACGGTCTGTGGACGATCATCGTGAAAATTATAGAACGTACGATCAAAGGTCAGTGTCAATAGAATAGCAAGAGATGGGTGGATACCTTTTAACGTTAGGGTAGATATCATTTATATTACAAATGCACTGCTGCCATATATAAAACATATATATATATATATATATATATATATATATATATATATATATATATATATATATATATATATATATATATCCTGTATAATTGAAATTCAACCAATTCTAATAATTACACTTCATCATTTTTCAGTTATCATAACGCCAGGTAGGTAGTTAAACCATTACAGACAAAAGGCTTATAAACTTGACTATACAAAACTGTGACGCTTAAAAGACTTTTTATTTTGTCTGTAATAGAGGCAGCTAAGCGTATTTTTTGAAGAAAAAAAAGCTTATTTTAGTACTCTTGTTTAGCACTCTAATATTTGACTTAATTAGTAGGCTACCTTGTATTCAACTTGTTTAGTACTTCTAATATTTGACTTAATTAGTAGGCTACCTTGTATTCGACTTGTTTAGTACTTCTAATATTTGACTTAATTAGTAGGCTACCTTGTATTCGACTTGTTTAGTACTTTTAATATTTGACTTAATTAGTAGGCTACCTTTATTCAACTTGTTTAGTACTTCTAATATTTTACCTGTTTTTTTTTCCTTACAGAAGCACCTCCGGCTGAAGGTATGACAAAAACCATTTTTAATAACTCAATACATCTGACAATAAACTCTACAATTTTATATTTTGTTTCTTTAGTTTGATAAGCAGTGAACTTATATTCATCAATAGTATATCATGAATAATCAGAGAAAGTTATTAAACAAATGTATCTTAACTACGATAAAACCCACATAAGTTTTGATTTTTAATGATTGTAAGTTTTCTGATGCGAATAATGATATGCATTTTTATTACCATGAAGCATCTTCAATAAATCGCCCTGTTTCATATTAAAAAGCGACAAAACCATACAATCGGTTTTAATCACAAGAGCTGTTAAGTCATTCCCAACCTTCATACTTTGCTTTCCATTGCAGTGTTTACCTATTTCCATTAATTTCTACTCTATTTACCATATTAGTATGTACCTAATTCCCATTTATAACACTATTTCTCAGCACAAAAGTTTCTGATTCCCATATTTTTTTTCCTAATTCCCAGCTCAGTGTGCAGCGTTGGTCGATCTCTTCTTCGTCATGGACGCCTCCGGCAGCATAGGAAAAGGCAACTACAAGAAGCAGCTTCAGTTTGTCTCCAACCTGATCCAGCCCTTCACCATAGGCAACAAGGGGGCAAAGGTCGGCGCTCTGCTCTTCAGCACCCAGGTCCAGAAGTTGTTTGACCTCAAGACATACACAACCAAAGACGCCATTACTAAGGTAAGGCACACACAACCAAAGACGCCATTTCTAAGGTAAGACATACACAACCAAAGACGACATAACTAAAGTAGGACATACACAACCAATGACGCCATTACTAAGGTAAGACATTACAACCAAAGACGCTATTACTAAGGTAGGACATACACAACCAAAGACGCCATTTCTAAGGTAGGACATACACAACCAAAGACGCCATTACTAAGGTAAGACATACACAACCAAAGACGCCATTTCTAAGGTAAGACACATTTCAACAAAAACGCCATTTCTAAGGTAGGACATACACAACCAAAGACGCCATTTCTAAGGTAGGACACATTACAACCAAAGACGCCATTACTAAGGTAAGACATACACAACCAAAGACGCCATTACTAAGGTAAGACATACACAACCAAAGACGCCATTACTAAGGTAAGACATTACAACCAAAGACGCCATTTCTAAGGTAGGACATACACAACCAAAGACGCCATTACTAAGGTAAGACATACACAACCAAAGACGCCATTACAAAGGTAAGACATACACAACCAAAGACGCCATTACAAAGGTAGGACACAGCAGTAGTATATCTAAAGCGTTATATTGAGGTAAGGAAAGAGCAATATTATAACCAAAGACGTCATTTCTAAGGTAGGACATACACAACCAAAGACGCCATTTCTAAGGTAAGACATACACAACCAAAGATGCCATTTCTAAGGTAGGACATACACAACCAAAGACGCCATTACTAAGGTAGGATACAGCAGTAGTATATCTAAAGCGTTATATTGAGGTAAGGAAAGAGCAATATTACAACCAAAGACGCCATTTCTAAGGTAAGACACACACAACCAAAGACGACATAACTAAAGTAGGACATACACAACCAAAGACGCCATTACTAAGGAAGGACACAGCAGTAGTATATCTAAAGCGTCATACTGGGGTAAGGAAAGAGTAATATTACAAGCAAAAGACGCCATTGCTAAGGTTAGGTATTATTTTTTCAAATAATATCATATCCAAGTTAGCCTATAACACTATTCAAAGTTACCGTATATATTATACTGTATGTTTAAAGTCTACCTGAGTTATATTCAGATTTTTTTAATATCCTAACACCAAACTATCCCGAGGTTATATATTGTAAGTCTACCTGTGCTATGTTCACATTCAGGCCATACTGGCCGCGCCGTACCTTGAAGGCAGCACCAGCACAGACCTGGCACTCAACTACATTGTCGAGAAGAACGTCTTCGGCGCCGCTTCTGGTGGTCGGGCAAACGCCAAGCGCGTCGTTGTGGTCTTGACTGATGGAAGATCCAACAATGTGTTCAACAGTACGTTACATTTTGGGGAGTTTTAATACAACTGTCGTGTAGAAAAAACGACGCATAAAATATACATTTATTTTATATTAATACATATTTAGAAATAAAATTTAGATTAATAAGTCATACTTTTTAAATAATAATTTTTTTTAGTCGTATTGATACTATTTTGCTTTAAACTATTGTTTTATATATTGACTACTTTTAAAATAATAGAAAAAGACGATGGTATTTATATTGATACAATGTTATCAATAAAATTATATTTTATAAATATATTATTTAAAAAAACGTTTACAATAATATAAATTAAAATTTATAAAACATTAACACAGTAATGTTAAGTCGGCCTTTTGGATGTCGGGGTTTTTTTTTTGGTTATTTTGATATCGGTTTTTTTATATCGGTCATATTTCATTTCGGACCTTTGTCCGTGTCGGCCTTTTGTCGATGTCGGCCTTTTATGCGGATCCCCTTTGATGAAAATCTTATTTTAAATCAAGGAAAGATGCTATTCTCTTAGATGTATGTGTAACATTTGTATATTCATGTTGTTGCCAGCGAACAGAGCGGCAGCTTCTGTGAAGAACTCTGGAGTTCAGATCATCGCTATCGGCATCGCCCAGGCTTTCCTGCAGGAACTGAGGGCCATCGCCTCCAGCAATTCCGATATCTTCAAGGCCGCTGACTTTGACGCTCTTAGCAGCATCAGGCGAACTTTGTCCACGCATATTTGTGAAAGTGAGGATCTTTTAGTTTCTTGTGAGCTAAGGAATACATTCAAATTTGTGCAATCCTTAAATTAGTTAGGAAAATATACCAACAATTGAAAACAAAATTATATTTTCAAGATTTTTTAAATGCAAATTATATAAAAATATTTTTTTCATAAAATAGAATATTATTATTTCTAGAAAATCTAAACAATTCGTATTATTTACTTGTTCTATAAATCATTTTTCTTTGTATTTTAAATTTAAAACTCTTTTTATGGTTGCAGCTGTCAATGAAGTCACTGATGTTGGTGAGTATATTCAAGATTACAGCTTTAAATAATTTCGCATTTAAGAGGACATTTTGATCTATAAATATATACTGTTCATTTGTTTTCTTTAGCTGTGTTTTAAATTTACGAATACTTTCTGTTGTACATATTATAAGACGCACTCTGATTTACTTTGTTCTATTTGTTAGTCTTTGATAGTTACAAAAATTTCAGATATTTCTTTTCTGTAATGCTGAAATTAAAATGCACATTTTTTCTTCTGATTAGGTGCTAACAATGTTGAAGGTAAACCTTTTATCACATGATTAATTAGAAAAATTGAATATATTTTAGAACAGATAGAAAAATAAACGTATAGGAAACAACATTGTTGCCAGATTTATTAAGTTAAAGACGGTAGTGTTTGCACCTTCCCTGATTGACGTTTATCTTTTACTAGCCGTCCCAGCCAGGCCCTGCTCTGGCTTCTGTGAAAAACCTTTCTGTTAAAGACCATTACCTGTGTGTTTAGTAATCATCATAAACCCGGCATTGCACACCCAAACCAAAACAAAACAACAAAACGCAAACATAACGCTAACACAATTACAAATACAAACGAAAACAAAAACCTAACAACTAACCCAACCACAACCACAAACACCAATACGAACACAAAGAAAAAAAAACGAAAAAGCAAACGAAAACAAACCAAATCCAAATGCAAAACCAACCACAAACCCAAAGAAAAAAACACAAACGAAAAAACAAACGCAAACAAACCAAATACAAACGCAAAACCAACCACAAACACAAATACAAACACAAACGCAAAGAAAATAAAACACAAACGAAAACGAAAAAAGAAAGAACAAAAACGAACCAAATCAAAACGCAACCACTAACGCAAACCCAACCTAAACACAAAGAAAACACTAACGCGAACATAAACGCACAGTGCTCAGAGTCTAGCCCGGGGCGGAATCGCCTGTTTCAGCTTAATAAACGACTATAGTACCCCAACTTATTCATAGTCTTTTGCACTCACTTTAATGAACGTAGGCGCGAAACCGAACACGGGAGGCCCGGGACCTCAAATAGCACCCTGTCTGGGCGCCAGAGGACGCACCATGACGTCACCGCCTGATTGAACTTAGTAAACGACTATAGTACATAACTTATTCATAGTATTTTGAACTCACTTACGCAAACGTATGTACCATAGCGTACGCGGTAAGGCCCGGGACGCCAAATAGCACCATGTCGGGGTGCCGGAGGACGCCCGGATTTGATTCACTTAAAGACTATAGTAACCTTTCTTATCCATTGTCTATCGCACTGTTAAAAACAAAATTATGCAGCATAGCGCTCACATGATAGCCCAGGGTGCCAAATCGAACCGTGCAAGGGCGCCGGCGGACGCGCCTGTTTCAATTTAGTGAACAAAAATGATAATACTCCAAGCTTATCCGTAAATGGAAAGAAATAAACTTATAGGATTTGTAGGACCTAGCTTATTAAATGTTATTGATTTAAAAAAAAAATATTGCACAGTATGTTCAGTGTATAGAATAAATAAAAGGCAGTGTTAAAAATACCTAACGACATTGCACTTAATCAATCCCCGCTAATTATGTAATTATTATTTTTTTCTTAACACCAAAAACAAAGTAATAAAATGTAAATTCTTTCTACTTAAGAATTTTTTTTATTAAAGGGAAGTAACTGTGCAGTCAATACATTTCCGACACAATTTTAGAAATTTTATAAACGTCGATACACTTTTTAAAAATTTTATGTCGCGTTCATAATTGAAAATTATTCTTCTAAGTAAATAGAATGAAAATTGTTTTTAAAGACTTTCAATGGTAATTTTTTGACTCGTAAATTTAGACTATGAACACGATAAAAAATCTAACACTTAAATCCATAGAAGTGTCAACGACAAACTTTTTTGCCACACGTTACAGAACTGAGCTTTATATATTAGACTAGCCGTCCCGGCCAGGCCCTGCTCTGGCTTCTGTGAAAAACCTTTCTGTTAAAGACCATTACCTGTTTGTTTAGTAATCATCATAAACCCGGCATTGCACACCCAAACCAAAACCAAAACAACAAAACGCAAACATAACGCTAACACAATTACAAATACAAACGAAAACAAAAACCTAACAACTAACCCAACCACAACCACAAACACCAATACGAACACAAAGAAAAAAACAAACGAAAAAGCAACGAAAACAAACCAAATCCAAATGCAAAACCAACCACAAACCCAAAAAAAAAACACAAACGAAAAAACAAACGAAAACAAACCAAATACAAACGCAAAACCAACCACAAACACTAATACAAACACAAACGCAAAGAAAATAAAACACAAACGAAAACGAAAAAAGAAAGAACAAAAACGAACCAAATCAAAACGCAACCACTAACGCAAACCCAACCTAAACACAAAGAAAACACTAACGCGAACATAAACGCACAGTGCTCAGAGTCTAGCCCGGGGCGGAATCGCCTGTTTCAGCTTAATAAACGACTATAGTACCCCAACTTATTCATAGTCTTTTGCACTCACTTTAATGAACGTAGGCGCGAAACCGAACACGGGAGGCCCGGGACCCCAAATAGCACCCTGTCTGGGCGCCAGAGGACGCACCATGACGTCACCGCCTGATTGAACTTAGTAAACGACTATAGTACATAACTTATTCATAGTCTTTGGAACTCACGCGAACGTAGATACCATAGCGTACACCGGAAGGCCCGGGGCGCCAAATAGCACCCTGTCGGGGTGCCGGAGGACGCCCGGATTTGATTCACTTAAAGACTATAGTAACCTTTCTTATCCATTGTCTATCGCACTGTTCAAAACAAAATTATGCAGCATAGTGCTCACATGATAGCCCAGGGTGCCAAATCGAACCGTGCAAGGGCGCCGGCGGACGCGCCTGTTTCAATTTAGTGAACAAAAATGATAATACTCCAAGCTTATCCGTAAATGGAAAGAAATAAACATATAGGATTTGTAGGACCTGGCTTATTAAATGTTATTGATTTTAAAAAAAAAAAAAAAATTATTGAACAGTATGTTCAGTGTATAGAATAAATAAAAGGCAGTGTTAAAAATACCTAACGACATTGCACTTAATCAATCCCCGCTAATTATGTAATTATTATTTTTTTCTTAACACCAAAAACAAAGTAATAAAATGTAAATTCTTTTTTCTTAAGAATTTTTTTTATTAAAGGGAAGTAACTGTGCAGTCAATACATTTCCGACACAATTTTAGAAATTTTATAAACGTCGATACACTTTTTAAAAATTTTATGTCGCGTTCATAATTGAAAATTATTCTTCTAAGTAAATAGAGTGAAAATTGTTTTTAAAGACTTTCAATGGTAATTTTTTGACTCGTAACTTTAGACTATGAGCACGATAAAAAATCTAACACTTAAATCCATAGAAGTGTCAACGACAAACTTTTTTGCCACACGTTACAGAACTGAGCTTTATATATTAGATAGAATAGGAACACTGTTACAAGAACTGCATACAATTTGACCGATGACAATGAAATACTTTTGACAACACTAGACAAAGAATAAAACATAAGACTGACCATAGACTGTGACCAAATATTGACCATGAGTAGAGATTAAGAGAAATGTGATTGTAAAAATATAACCACTGTTTCTGTTTTGTTTTTAATAAAACAGCTCCAAATGTGGCAGTTGAACCTCCAAGGATACCACTTCCTGGTGAGTTTTTTTTTTGTCCTCGAACTTTTATAGCCTGTCAGATGTTTAATGAATGCTATTTTAACTTCTTTAATGGATGTTTAGTCAGTGTTATTTTAGCTTCTTTACTGGATATTTACTAATTATGCAGAAAAAAAATAATTTTTTATTAATTTTCAGATGTGCCTGCTGCTTTACCACGTAAGATTTTTTAAAATTTATGTTAATCTAATCGTTCCATTTATGGATCAACATTCTTGATAACAAAATAAAGTACAGTTTGTTTTCGTTGGGGCAAGATTGTTTTAAAAGAAGGAAACAGTGTACTTAAAAAGGATTACCTCTGATTTAAAATATGAAACTAAAACCTTATCTTTAAAAGAAGTATTAATATTTTATAAAAAAAAAATATTTCAAAACCGCAAAGAGCTACTTTAATTATGTAATTTTTAAAAATAAATATGTATCCAATTTGAGAATTTCTAATCTGAAAATCTATGCTGAATTGTAAATACAACAGGATGTTTCCCACTTACTAACGAGTATTTACATGTGTATTGTAATCGCAACATATTTCCCATCAGCCCCTGTGAACCCCTGCCCCATCAAGGTGGACATCATCTTCTGCTTGGATTCCTCTGGCAGTATCGGCCCCGTCAACTACCAACTTCAGCTCAAGTTTGCTGCAGAAATCGCCAGTAACTTCCCCTTGGGCAATGACCTCGCCGCTATTGGCAGCGTTATTTTTAGCAACACAGCGGAAAAAGTGTTTGACCTAAAAGACTACACAAAACAAAGTGAAGTCACAGAGGTAACCTAGTTGTAATATTTCAAAGATCGTGTTATAAAATTGTAAGGTGTGAAACCCTTTTTATGACTGTGATGTTCCGGGGTCTTTGTTAGATGGTATGTGTCTGCGTGGTTGGGGTGTAGAGCAATTTGCTATGAACCCGCAAGTCTCAAGTTCGGATCTCAGTCCAGACTTGAGTCTGCAGGATGTACCTGAGTCCACCCGCCTCTCACGGGTACTCATCTCAGGCAAGTGAAAGTAAAGGCGTCTTGGCATAGTGTCGAACACAAAGTCTTTTCATATACCAAGGTGAAGAAACAGGTCCTTTTCTTCCTGTACTCAGTGGATCGTCATGATTAAAAGGGGATCTTCAATTTATTTGTTAGAAAGTAAATTTTCATAACACAGATAGTATAAACACGGTTTAAAAATAGGAGCAGAATTCTTTGACTTTATTGGTTGCTGTGTAGCTCACACGTGACCCACTAAACTGTTCGTGAAGTTCAATACAGGTCTTACAACTAGAGGGACGATACTTTGATAACGCTAGACCGTATGACTTGTATAGTTTGTTTCCCTGATGTATCATGTCACCACAAAACCCGACCACTTGTATCAACAGGCCATTCTACTGACTCGATACATCAACTCCACCACCAACACCCACCTGGCCTTTAACCTCATCTCCGAGCACGCCATGTTTGAGACCGAGGCTGGAGGCAGGGACGATGCGGCCAAAATTATTTTATTTATGACTGATGGACAATCTGGCCAACCTAAGTTGAGTAAGTCACAAAATTATTTTATTTATGACTGACGGACAATTTGACCAACCAAAGTTGAGTAAGTCATTAAATATTTTCAGTGACGTGAATGTCGTAAAGTAGGCACTTACTCCTGTAAAAGTCTAGGTCCCATAATCACTTACCATTGACTAAACGCAAAGCCAAATACAAGTCTCATATATCACTCTCTGTATAAAAGAACACACATTATCACTCATTAAATCATCACATTTTATTGTAAGTCCCATAGATCATTCTATATATGTAAGCCCTTACATCGACTTTTCCTTAATGCAAGTAACATACATCCCTCGAGTCCCATCATGTAAGCCAATACACCACCACCCACACAATCCTGTTTATACTAAGTTTAAAGCAAGGTTTCAATCTTATCGCTTTGGTGGTGGCATTAAACTTGGTTTCCCTTTGGGTTTTTTTAAACGATGCAAACAAAACTAAAGTATAAGCAATTAAAAAATTAAATTTCTAATGGGCCCTTTCAGTTTTGAGACCCTTTAAACGTGTACTCACTGCTAACTTCCGGTGTTTATATCCCAGCTGTTGAGTCAGCTGAGCGACTGAAGGAGCAGGGTGTCAACATCTTCTCCATTGGGGTCGGCAAGTACGTCCTGGAGGAACTGAACAGTGTGGCCAGCGACGCCAAGAACGTCTTCACGGTCACCGGGTTCAACGCCCTGGACAACATCAAGAAGGCGATATCGGTCAGGGCATGTGATGGTAAGTTGGAGTTTAGTTCTGTTAGTTTCTGTTTCATCAGAGCATGTGAAGTTAAGTCGTAGAATTCATTCAGTTCTGTTAGTTTCTGTTGCCGTCAGGGCAGGGGATGGTAAGTTGGAGTTTAGTTCTGATAGTTTCTGTTGCATCAGAGTATGTGAAGTTAAGTCGTAGATTTCATTCAGTTCTGTTAGTTTCTGTTGCCGTCAGGGCAGGGGATGGTAAGTTGGAGTTTAGTTCTGATAGTTTCTGTTGCCGTCAGGGCATGTGATGTTAAGTCGTAGATTTCATTCAGTTCTGTTAGTTTCTGTTGCATCAGATCCAGAGGCGTAGCGAGGGGGGGGGGCGGGGGGGGGGGGGACATATGTCCCCGGGCGCCGACCTTAGGGGGGGGGGGGGCGCCAAATTGAAAGTTTGAGGGGGGGTGCAAATGAAAAGTTCGAAGGGGGGGGTGCAAATCGAAAGTTTGAGGGGGGGGGGTGCAAATGAAAAGTTCGAGGGGGGTGCAAATCGAAAATTTGCTCCCGAGGGGGGCGCCAAATTGAAAGTATGTCCCCGGGCGCCGGGAAGGGTCGCTACGCCTCTGATCAGATCATGCGATGGTAAGTCTTAGATTTCATTCAAGTCTTCAAGTTTCTATAGCCCTCGGAGCATGCGATGGCAAATTAGTTTCATTCAGTTCTGTTGTTTCTGTGGCAATCTGGGCATGAAATAGTAAGCTGGAAATTTCATTCAAATCTCTTTTCTTGCTTGCATTTTGGTCTTTTTCTATTTAAGATAGTTAACTTATAAACGATGTTCCCATGTCTTGGATGAACTGTATAACTGATATATTTGATTCGTAGAGTTGATTATGTGAATGATATTGACGTCACATAACTAATGTTTCAATTATTTTGTTTCCAGTGTCTAAGGCCGCGCAAGAAACAGACCAATACGAATACGATGAACAATAACCAGAAAGTTCACGTTAACCACCTTCTAATTTATGGTTTAATTAAAAATGGTTTTATTCTTATTTAAAATATTTGTTATCATTACTAAATGTATAGGTTATCAAATTTGCATACTTTTACTCCTCAATATATTTAATTATGACTTACTTTATCAGGCCTTGGGTGTGTTATACTAACGAGGAATCAAACTTTAATTTATATGTTCATTACTTATTGTTAGGGTTATATTTTTAAACTTGGTATTTTATCACAATTATATCATTGAGGTGACTGTTTTTAATGAAAAATAAAATTGATAAACGCAAACATTGTGTTATTTATTCATTGTTGTTCTGTAATAAAATTAAGTGAAACAATTCTTTAAATCTAGAGCCTTTAATTCATTCATTTTTCACAACAAGAGAAATGGCACTGAAGTTATGGTGTTAAGGCCGGTAGACTAAAAATTTGTAATGTCTGTAAAGTATAACTAGATGAACATTATCCTTGTTAATGTCATTGTAGTTCTCAAATATTTTTTTTAATTACGGTAGTCTTATGTGTTAAGCTAATGTGTTAGCAATCCTTGGTACTATAACATCTGAACATTAAGGCGAATAGTGCTTGTTTGATATTTTCCTCTATGGCCTATATTTCAAAACAAGGCAACATTCCGATTTCTCAAAAAACGCACGTAAATTTGTAAGGTACTAATAATATCCCGCACTATTATGCACATTTTATTAGGCGTTCACTTAGTGTGCAATTCTTTTTTTTTACGAGATTCCATTCTAATATAAAATGTTTAAGTAATTAAAAATGGATTACAAATATTGTCCTGATTTGACATCCCTCGTAGTTTTATATTAGAATAATCAAGAAAGTTTAGGGGAGATCACTCGTGGTTTATTTATTATTTATTTTTTTCAGTACCTTAAATGTTTTAAATTTAGAATACAGTTGCATGACTAAAAACCATTGCGCACCTAATGAACGTGGTGACGCGTGTCTAATAGTGCGAAATAGTTTGATGAGACACCCTACTTATTTGGACAAAATTGTAATCAATTCATAAAAAATTAATTAGGCAACCAATTAAGACAAATGTATGTCTTGACCAACGTACCAACTACGAACCGTATCTATAAGTTAGAAATGCCTGCAATTTTGCTCGGGTGTTTCGATCTAGACAGACAGACAGACAGACTGACGACAGACTGACGACAGACAGAAGCAGTGAGTGAAATAAAAAGCTTGTAAAAAAGCTATTGAAATGATTGAAATTGAGTGATTTTTGTGATTTTTATAGTAAAACAAAAACTTTTGAAAAGAAAGCAATTTAAATTATATATATATATATATATATATATATATATATATATATATATATATATATATATATATATATATAAGCTACATTTGGCGCGTTTTTTTTTTATAGATTAGCCGTTTCCCCTATTAGGAACAGCCCTGAACAAATTGTAACAAGAGATGAGTATTGATTTTACAACCCCTATGCCATTTTAACACCGGCCACAAATGCTTGATTAGACCAAACAAAACAATACATTGATTAACAATGAGTCATGTCACAAGTATTTCGCCATGTTTTTATATGTGTTACAAAGCATGTTATCATTGATGTAATCTGTGTTTGTGTTGTGTTTGTGTTATTGTTGTGTTATTGTTGTGTTGTGTTTGTTTTGTGTTTGTGTTGTTTTTGTGTTGTGGTTGTGTTGTGGTTGTGTTGTGTTTGTGTTGTGTTTAGTTTTGTTCTGTTCTGTTCCCAATTTGATTCATTTAAAAAACATCTACCGTGGCGGAGCACGGGTATGCAGCTATATAATATAACGCTGGTGGTAGTGTGTCAGTCCTTCCTGTGGTAGTGTGTCATCGCTATAGATTTTGGAAGTCTCTCCCTGGGCGCGGACGGACGGGAGAACGTGTCGATCGGCGGCGGTTTAGATGACGCCTTGGGTTCGGGAAGGAGAGATATCTGGGCGGACGTTCGTGAGAGCATTGGCTCTCAATTTTTATTTTTATTTTCGTGAGTATCAAAGTGCTACCGACACCAGCGCGCAGCGCCATGCGTTGAAGGAATATTCACCTCAATGCGGGGACCCCCATCCGCGCGCAGCGGTAAACTCTGAGGTAATATCCATATCCATACCGTGGCGAAGAACGGGTATGTGTTTAGTTTTCTTCTATTCAGAAGTTGGTACATTTTGCCTCGTGAGACAATGAAATTGCGCCACGAGATTAAGACGTTATTTTCTTTTGGTGCAGGCTCTGTTGTGGCAGGTCATGCAAATCCTAGGATGGCAATCTCTGCCACAATTATTGCAGATCATAGTGGTATATATATATATATATATATATATATATATATATATATATATATATATATATATATATATATATATATACGATGTCACATATTTAGACAGCATGGTTAATTATTATGTCAATTACTGACAATAAAACACGCATAACTAAAGCCAAGCGAGATTTTTCTGCAAAAAAAAAATTGGCTATCTAAGTTAGAGACCGAATGCAGATAATTTTTTTCCAAAATAATGTCCTAACTGTTTTTTTTTTTTTTTTTGTAGATCAATGAATGCAGGAAAGCAACCATCTCTTCCATCTAGATATTGTATGCTTTGTATAGTGAGTAGGCCTACCGGGCCGGCTACCAATGAATAATAAATGGCAACCACTGGCCCTAGACTATCTTTAACAATAGGTTTCTAGGAACTAGGAGACTTAGAAATTGAAACTTTCTGAATTAAGTGAAGAAAGATGGCGCTGGATGTGCCATGTATTAAGGATGAGACCAGACGAGGTTACAGCAATGGCGCTCGATTGTCCACATCAAAGAGGACTATGAAGCTTGAGCAGAAAACTACTAACAGGAGCAGAGAAAGTTTCAAAGGACTGGATTTCTCTGGTGGCCCCATTTACCCTAGGCATCGACGGTAAAAGACGATGATGATGAACTTAGACAAGCTACTATACTATTACCATTCTGATAAAAATCATGCAAAAATAGAAATGTGTTGCTTTTCGATGTTTTAATTGCATAAAAATTCAAACTTTTAAAATTCTGACTCCTTTGGAAACTGCTGGAACTCACCTCCAAATTTGTATTTCTGTCTCAGTTTAGCACAAAGTACGAACAATAAGATTTTTTGTTTTAATACAAGCTTTTATTGAACTTGTTTACTCTGTCGGTCTGTATGGGTCGAAACGGAAAAAGGGTCTGGGGACGGTTGCTCGCTAAGTCACCCACTTACTTATCATTTGGATACGCCTATGTATGTCAAGCTTACATTAAAAATATATCAATGGTAGTCCGACACGTATCATTTATCGACCGGCTAAACCTTTTTAATACCTGCTCATTTCGAAATGTTCTCGCTTTGGAATTTTAATTAACTACTCACTAGTTTTAATTAAATGTGTGGAATGTAGTATGCTCTATTCAATGTTATATCCTATATTACTTGTTACAAAGAAGATTTATTAACTGTAATTTGCAAATTACGAAGTGGACGGCCATTTTAGGTAGGTTATAATGTGACGTAGTGGACGGCCATTAGAGCCAGGTTCACTGGTGACGTATTAGACGGCCGTCATTGCTAGTTTTAACAGTGACGTAGTAGATGGCCGATATTTCTAGTTTAAAAAGTACTAAAATGGACGGTCTTTGCAACTAGGTTCATTGTAGGATTAGTGGACGGCCGTTATAGTTATTCTAACAAGTGACGTAATATATGACTGCTATACCCAGGTTATTAAGTAAACAAAGACCAAACCATCTAAAAATTCAGAGAAGTATTAAACAAGTGATTTTGAGTTTTGTAATAATTAGTGTTGCTTGTAAATCTTTCAAAATAGAACTTGTTTTGTCAGATGCGAAATAGCAGTAAAACGTCCATTTGTTCTAATAAACCATTATTTAATAAATTCCAGTGCAGAATTTTTATTACATTTCAATATATAGTGTGCATTATCTCTGGTTGGCTTATAGCTACATTGCTAATGAGCAAGTGAGCATTAAATATAAACCAGTTTATTGTTAGAAAGAATGCTATGTTAAGGTGTTCCCTTTAAATCCAGTTTGTGATATAAATTAAATAACCTGCATCCATTTGTAATTAACGCAATAGGATTTATAGTCTTATAGAGACTGTACTTACAACAAAATGAGTTTCCTGTCTAATCCCTATTTGATCCCTGTTTGATTAAATACAGACGCAAAAATTTTTCGGGAAAATTCGTCTTCTTCTTCGTTCTTAATTTTTAGTGTTGGAAGTAAAAAAGTAAAGTAAAGTTTCCCTTTCAAACCTGACGGTCTATGGGGCAAGTGAAGTAGAGTTCACTTGTTTCTGTGACCTCGGCATATGAAGAGATAGTGTGGTCAGCACTATGCCCAGCCGCCTTTACTTCCCCTAACGTGAGGTAGGTACCCATCAGAGTTGGACTCAGGGACGGTCTTATGGCTCTAACCCGGATTCGAACTCGAGAATTACGGGTTAGCAGTCCAGCTCTCTACCGCTAGACCACTGCCAGATAAGGCTCGCTCACTTCCAAAACTAAAAATTAAGAACGAAGAAGGAGAAGAAGACGAATTTATCACAATTAAGGATACGTGTCAACTGGTTATGCGCCATTGGGGCCATTGACTACGATTTCAGCCTGCTTTTCTTTTTTTTTGGATTTGCTTCCATAGCCTTTGTCCAACCAAGAACAAAATGCAAGGCAGCAGTTGTCTCTCCTAAAAGAGTGGCTGTCCTCAGCTAACGAGCCTCAACTGGTGGCTGTCCTCAGCTGACGGGCCTCAACTGCCCGAGGGTTCGAACTTGAGACTTTTCGGCTTAGCAACCATGAGCTTTACCGACTCGACCACAGTGCTTCTTCTAGACTTTTTTCTCCGGGGGGGGGGGGGACACTTGAAATTTTCGGCGGGGTGGTAGACTTTCTTCACCCCCCCCCCCTCTTCCGAAGAACTGCCTTGAAGAAACTCTTGCCTAGTTATAATTAATATGGTTATAAAATCCTGTCTGTTTTTAATCCATGTCAACAATATTATGGAAGGATTCTCGTCGACTCGGTCGCCTCCATTGGTGTAAAGTTTTAAGGGAACACAAAACATACACCGTAATTATTTAATCTTTTCCGGAACGTCTAGCACGCACACACACACACACACATACAGACACACACACACATACACCTATATATATATATATATATATATATATATATATATATATATATATATATATATATAAATATATATATATATATATATAAATATATATATATATATATATATATATATATATATATATATATATATATATACATATGGATTGCGCCAAATTGTACGTTCGCCCCGGGCGCCGGGAGGGATCGCACCGCCTCTGGTCGTGATTCCCGTTAGGGAAAGGGAGACACTTTTCCCCCGAGAGAGTACGAGAGTAAAATCAAGCTTACAGTTTATCTCGTTTACCTTAAGCCTGACTAAACAAAACTAGTTGAGGCCGCAGTTTTTTTTTAACTGCCAGCCATCTTCACAGTGTTGTTTCACATGCTGTCAGAAAATCAGATACGAATGTTATAAGATACCCGATATTTTAGACAAGAAAATAATATTCACATTTGCTTGATAATTAACATTTTACCCGCCACCTGCATGTTCTAAATGTTAATAAAGCTAGTGAAGCGGAAATGTGCATGTAATCATTAACAGGTGGAATAATTAGCTTAGTGATGCGTGGCAGTCACTTGTTAAATACAAATTGTTTTACTTCAAAATGTATTTGAAACGTGAGGTCCTATAAAGTGATTTCTTATTTCCCTAACGTCATTATTTTACAGTTTTCGTTCATCTCCGTTTACAATTAAGTACACATTTTTGTTTTTAAATAGTTTTTTTTTTAGCGTGGCCTTACTGTAACCGGATTTCTATTTCTGTTATGCTGCATCAAGCTAACAAAACAGAAAGAAAATTTGACTGTAATTAGAGATTGTCGTAATGGTTATTTTTTTAATTAATCCTTAAGAAGCATATTGAATTGAACTACTGGTACAGGTATAAAACAGGGGTGTAGGACTTCGACTATCACTTTAACCTATTTGTGAGTAAATGTTTGATTACTCTAACAGTTTATACATATTTTTTCTACTTAATACTAGGCTCCACTCCGGTTTTAATAAGACTGCTATTATCATTGTTTGCTGTTATTCGTAACTTAATTTACTGTTAAAATTAATTATTACAAAATTTAGGAATTTTACATTTTTAAATTTTAAAAATTAACTAAGCAAATTATTAAAAATCACATAAATATTTAAGTTGATGACATCGCGGACTAAGCAAACTCACCTTGAAAAACACAGGTCTAAACACACGCTCAACTCTTATTAAGAAGTTAGTTAAGTCAATGCCAAGAGAAACGGACGTCCTTTTTGTCAACTTGTTGGGCTCTGCCATTAATTGGATTAATTAATAATTTAAAAATGTTTCTGCCGTATTTGTAAACTCTTAAAACTCGAATTAAAACATAGCATTCTACTAACTTCATTATTGCATCTTACGACCGTTTTGTATAGGCCTACTATTAAACACGAATTATTTATCTTAAATGAATCAACTGCCACATATTATTCTGTTTGTTTTTCCTTCAATATCACGTTTCAATCGTATTATTCTCCACTCTCCACGCCGACAAATATCTCGACATCCTTTAGCATACACATATTTAGAAAATTTCGTTTTTCCACCCATCTGTTTACATCCCACCATGGCTAAAAACCAAATGTTACTTTATTTTTTACCAAAGCTAACCACGTGATAACCGTTTATCTGACGCCATGAGAGGACGTCTGCTCGAGGTGTGTGTGCTGCTGATTTTCGTCTCAACGGCCAGCGGTCATTTTGGTCTTTTTAATTATTATAAAGGTAATTTTATTTTCATTCATTTACTAAAAAATATAGTAATGTTCAACCAATTTTGTTTATAGCAATATACTCTGCATCAGATTATAATGTTTTAGAAATAAAATATAACAGAGTTGAAATGTTAATTTTTGTTGTTGTTAATGTTATTGAAACTTTATGGTCAGAATTTTGTCTTTCCTAAACTACTAAAAATAAAAAGCAGAGCTGACTACACTATTAAATGTTGTTGTTGTTGTTTTGCGTCACCTTACCATTTTAATACTAGTATCCCAAAAAAGTTAATGTACAATCGTCAATTATTTGAACTAGCAACATTTTTAACGAGAAAATTTTAAAACATCCACAGCTTTAAAAAAAAGAGGAAACAACCAGCCCCCACCCCAGCCTACACAGCCAGCTAAAGGTATATGCCTTTTTGTGTAATATTTTTCTTTCTCACATATCAAAATATTACAAAAATACCTCCAAATGTTTCTCTTATTTACCACAATCGCTAAAGACAATACCAAAAAAAAGATCGTGTCAATTATTAGTAAAACATAATGATCCAATATATTAAAAATAAAGTAGGCACAATACTAATTTACATGTGTAAATTACATTTGTCTTATGTTTTATTAACGTGTTACACATCTACATTATTAAATTAAAAATGCTCTTAGCGTTCACGCGAAGTCTTTGAACAATTTATCTCCCCTTGTACATTATGTTTTTTAAACTATTTATCTCCCTTTATACCTGACGTCTTTGTAACACTATCTCCCCTTGCCAATGACGTCTATGAACCATTTATCTCCCCTTGTAGCGGGCGTGTGTAGATGCCCCACCGCCAACAGAAACAATCTCCAGTCATGTGACCTGGCATCAAAGACTTTTCTGGGCAAGCGCACGTGCTGCGACAACCTAAGTCCAGATTTCATCACCGGACACTACCACTGTTCCTGGAATCAAAGTCAGTATCTGGCGTTAAATTACATAGAATTTATATGTATCTGTTGTATACGTGTATAAATAAACATATAACATACACACACACACACACACATATATATATATATATATATATATATATATATATATATATATATGTGTGTGTGTGTGTGTGTGTGTGTGTGTGTGTGTGTATATATATATATAAATAAATATATATACATATATATATATATATATATATATATATATATATATATATATATATATATATATATATATATATATATATATATATATATATATATAAAGATCTTTATTTATCATGTTTATTAATAAATTAACTTCGTGCTTTTACATTGCATTTCTCACCCTACTCGGGTTAACTCTTAGAGCAAAGATTTAGGTTGAGAGTTTCTATGTCATTTAATCGATACCCCTCTCCACCCACCCCACCCCTCATCCCCCAGACGATGACTGCGAGTGCCAGAATGTGCCACAAGTGGACTACTGTCGCGAGAACTCTGACACGAAGGGAACATTCCAGGCTAAAGACGAGTGCTGTAACGGGAAGAACCCCATAGGTTCAACGTACAAGTGCGCTTATGAAGGTTGGTTGGTGTTTGTTGTTTTAAATATTTTATTCTTGACAACCCCATGAATGGTACATATGCAAGCACAAAAGTACATTACTAAGCCTAATCTTCTAAACTTTTAATTTTCTTAACCTTAAATTCTAAGAAAAACTTTCTTCATATGCATGATATTAGAACTTTCTCAATTTAACTTTATAAACAAGATTTTGAACCTAACATTTTAAACCTAACATTCTAAGCGTTAGATTCTAAACCTAACATTATAAACCTTACATTTTTAAATCTAGCATCCTAAACCTAACATTGTAAACCTAACATTCTAAACCTAACATTTTAAACCTAACATTCTTAACCTATCATCTGTATACCATCGACAGGTGGCTCCTCTGGATCAAATCCACCACAAGGTATTTAACTAGGGTAGAATTTAGTCTCTATAAAACCTATTAAAATTATATTAAACTGCTTGTGTGAAAATCACTTTTTGCTTCTGAAAGATTTAGCTGCAGGTTATTAAAAATGAAATACGTATACCGTAGCTTTGAGGTAATCCATCATGTTGGTAAGATAGCAATAGAATTGCTACAAAGATCTCAGCTCTTATAATTCCTAAGCCAGACTTGTAGACAGCAAACTACGGGGCATTGTCTATTTCTTTTTACATATGCTAATATCTAAGGAAACAGTTTAGTGCCATAGTATAAAAATCTGGCGAGTATTCTAGCATTATTTGTATAATCTTATATTGTTGTCATTCACTATTCTAGCTATTCTATTCTGGAAAGAATGTTTTATGGTTATAATTTGATGGCATTATGATTATTATTGCTAATACTTTCTGTTGTTATTTACAGATTGCTGCCCAGCTAGTGAGTACCTGCTATTTAAAATTCCTTAATGTGCTTTATATATATATATATATATATATATATATATATATATATATATATATATATATATATATATATATATATATATATATATATATATATATTTATTTATTTATTTATTTATTTATTTATATATATATATATATATATATATATATATATATATATTTATTTATTTATTTATTTATTTATTTATTTATTTATTTATTTATTTATTTATTTATTTATTTATTTATTTATTTATTTATTTATTTATTTATTTATTTATTTATTTATTTATTTATTTATTTATTTATTTATTTATTTATTTATTTATTTATTTATTTATTTATTTATTTATTTATTTATTTATTTATTTATTTATTTATTTATTTATATATATATATATATATATATATATATATATATATATATATATATATATATATATATATATATATATATATATATATATATATATATATATATATATATGGTTATTCATATATGTATACTTTGTAGTTTTTACACATGTCTTAATCTACAGAACAAGGCAATGGAAATGATGGTGGTATGTTTAAATAAACTTTACAGTTTAAGTGTGCATGAGCTTTTGAACTATTAAAGTCTATATAAGAACTTAACTTACTATAGTAGCAACTTATTTACAATTAAGTTACCCTAGATAATAAAGAATAAAATATTTTAAAGTTTACTAAATGTTTGACAACAAAAACCGTCTTTCTCGCAGTACTGTTGTTGTTTTTTTATTAACCAGCTATATGTTTCTTTTTACTAACATAATTTTGCTTGTTTTAGTGATCTCCTTGTATGAACGTGACTTCCTAACAACATTTTGTTTACAAAGAAATTGCCAGCTAATTATGCATATTGGTGTAGATCTCGTATAGCTAATTGATTTGTATCTGTGTAGAAATTCCAGATTTTTGTCTGTGTAGAAATTTCAGTTTAAGCCCAGCTTACAATCTCATGTTTCCTTTTCCCTGTCCATGCCCACACAAGACGTCAACGAGCTTGAAGAATTCGAAAAGTTCTGGAACAAAAAAACACTGGAATATTGTGAGTTTTGATTTCTGGTTACAATGCATGTTCTGATTTTGCTCGGTTTTTTAATCTTCTATTAACTATTAACAACCCCATGAATAGCATATTGCGCCAGTTCGAAAGTTTTAGTCACTTTAATAAAAAAATACAAGCCATAAGTTCAAAACTAATTATCTCAGAAAATTACTGAAAATATTAAGAATTGATTAACAAAATGTATGTTTAAGGCATGTTTAGTTGTCTAGATAATAAAAGTGTATTAATCATTCACTTCGAAAGTCTTCCATTAAGTATTAGTTCTCAAAATTCCCAACTAGATGTTAATGCCATTAAATTACTGAAAATATAATATATATTATATTGCTGAAAATTTTTAATATCCTTTATGTTACTGCATACCATCAGTCAATTAATATTCCTTGCTAGTTCTAAACCTCCCATCATAATGCTCAGTTTTAGTCTATTTTAACCCAGCTTTCTTCAGCAAAGAAATGCAAGCCTTAATGAAAGAAAAACGAAATATCAACGGCGACATTGTGTTTGTTATCGACGGCTCTGATGGAGTAGACGAGAACAGCTACCGACAGACCCGCAACTTTGTGGTCGAGTTCATCAAATACTTCACCGTAGGAGAGAAATCTGCAAGGTTCGGTGCTATTTTGTTTGGAGACGAATCCAGAAAAATTTGCGGTCTGTCGAAATTCAACAACAACAAAGACATTGCAAAGGTAATTAGTGATATCAGTATCTTCTTGATGGAAGTGTTTCAAAGTCTCTATCTTCTAGAGCAGGGGTCTCCAAACTTTTCAAACCGAGGGCCGCATTAACTATCGAATTTCACTTCAGGAGTCAGTTTCTTCCAGGCAGTTCTTTGATTTTTTTTTCTGCGCAAAGTTCTTCAGCCATCACCAACAAACGATTTTTCCTTAGACAAAAAGATCTCCGCGGGCCGGATGAGAGGACTTCGCGGGCCGCATCAGGGCCGCGGACCGTAGTTTGGAGACCCCTGTTCTAGATGGTAGCTTTAGAAAGTGTATCTACTTAGTGGTGGCTTGACATCGTCTTGACGATAGCCTAATAGGGTTTTTATCTTCTAGATGGTAGCTTTAGAAAATCTTTATATTTCTGCTACATAGAGCTACTGTACCATACATGTTGATGGAAGTTTTATAAAGTGTTTAAATTATTGATGGCAGCATTGTAAAAATATGTTTCCTGATAAAGATATTTAAAAGTCTGATTGCTTATAAATATTTTTTGTTTTTATAAAGCATTTTTCAGGTGATTTCTTATCCACAAAGTCTGTATAATGCTATATAATAAATTGTAAATAAATGTATTGTTTAGAAATTTGCTATTGATAAATACACAATTTATAAATGTCTATAAAAATCTTATTTTGGTATCCACAGTAGATGTAAAAAAATTATTTGGTATCCACAGGAGATCTATAAAAATATTTTGTATCCACAGGAGATCTATAAAAATATTTTGTATCCACAAGATATCTATCAAAAACATTTTGGTATCCACAGGAGATCTATAAAAATATTTTGTATCCACAAGATATCTATCAAAAACATTTTGGTATCCACAGGAGATCTATAAAAATATTTTGTATCCACAAGATATCTATCAAAAACATTTTGGTATCCACAGGAGATCTATAAAAATATTTTGTATCCACAGGAGATCTGTAAAAATATTTTGTATCCACAAGATATCTATCAAAAACATTTTGGTATCCACAGGAGATCTATAAAAATATTTTGTATCCACAAGATATCTATCAAAAACATTTTGGTATCCACAGGAGATCTATAAAAATATTTTGTATCCACAGGAGATCTATAAAAATATTTTGTATCCACAAGATATCTATCAAAAACATTTTGGTATCCACAGGAAATCTATAAAAAATACTGTTGTATCCACAGGAGATCTATAAAAAATAGTGTTGTATCCACAAGAAATCTATAAAAATATTTTGTATCCACAGGAGACCTATAAAAATATTTTGGTATCCACAGGAAATCTATAAAAATATTTTGTATCCACAGGAAATCTATAAAAATATTTTGGTATCCACAGGAGATCTATAAAAATATTGTTGTATCCACAGGAGATCTGTAAAAAGTATTTTGTATCAACAGGAGATCTATAAAAAGTATTTTGTATCAACAGGAGATCTATAAAAAGTATTTTGTATCAACAGGAGATCTATAAAAAGTATTTTGTATCAACAGGAGATCTATAAAAAGTATTTTGTATCCACAGGAGATATGTAAAATATTTTGTATCCACAGGAGATCTATAAAAATATTTTGTATCAACAGGAGATCTATAAAAAGTATTTTGTATCAACAGGAGATCTATAAAAAGTATTTTGTATCCACAGGAGATCTGTAAAATATTTTGTATCCACAGGAGATCTATAAAAAGTATTTTGTATCCACAGGAGATCTATAAAAAGTATTTTGTATCAACAGGAGATCTATAAAAAGTATTTTGTATCAACAGGAGATCTATAAAAAATAGTGTTGTATCCACAAGAAATCTATAAAAATATTTTGTATCCACAGGAGACCTATAAAAATATTTTGGTATCCACAGGAAATCTATAAAAATATTTTGTATCCACAGGAAATCTATAAAAATATTTTGGTATCCACAGGAGACCTATAAAAAGTATTTTGTTTCAACAGGAGATCTATAAAAATATTGTTGTATCCACAGGAGATCTGTAAAAAGTATTTTGTATCAACAGGAGATCTATAAAAAGTATTTTGTATCAACAGGAGATCTATAAAAAGTATTTTGTATCAACAGGAGATCTATAAAAAGTATTTTGTATCAACAGGAGATCTATAAAAAGTATTTTGTATCAACAGGAGATCTATAAAAAGTATTTTGTATCAACAGGAGATCTATAAAAAGTATTTTGTATCCACAGGAGATCTGTAAAATATTTTGTATCCACAGGAGATCTATAAAAAGTATTTTGTATCAACAGGAGATCTATAAAAAGTATTTTGTATCCACAGGAGATCTATAAAAAGTATTTTGTATCAACAGGAGATCTATAAAAAGTATTTTGTATCCACAGGAGATCTATAAAAAGTATTTTGTATCAACAGGAGATCTATAAAAAGTATTTTGTATCAACAGGAGATCTATAAAAAGTATTTTGTATCAACAGGAGATCTATAAAAAGTATTTTGTATCAACAGGAGATCTATAAAAAGTATTTTGTATCAACAGGAGATCTATAAAAAGTATTTTGTATCAACAGGAGATCTATAAAAAGTATTTTGTATCAACAGGAGATCTATAAAAAGTATTTTGTATCAACAGGAGATCTATAAAAAGTATTTTGTATCAACAGGAGATCTATAAAAAGTATTTTGTATCAACAGGAGATCTATAAAAAGTATTTTGTATCAACAGGAGATCTATAAAAAGTATTTTGTATCCACAGGAGATCTATAAAAAGTATTTTGTATCCACAGGAGATCTATAAAAAGTATTTTGTATCAACAGGAGATCTATAAAAAGTATTTTGTATCAACAGGAGATCTATAAAAAGTATTTTGTATCAACAGGAGATCTATAAAAAGTATTTTGTATCCACAGGAGATCTATAAAAAGTATTTTGTATCCACAGGAGATCTATAAAAATATTTTGTATCCACAGGAGATCTACCTATCCCAAAGAATAAATTTCAGCCCAGACGTCAACACACACCGTGCCCTCGATCTGGTTATAGAGAGCGAAATATTCGGGATCGAGGCTGGAGGTCGCTCTGACGCCCCGGATATTCTCATTTTGATTGGTGGAGGCAAATCTTCAGAAAAAGAAGAGAGTTAGTGCCCTGCAGTTTTTTTTATTGTTGTTTTTGTTGTTGTTGTTGTTGTTGTTTTTGTTGTTAAAATTACCCATGATTATATTATTCAAAATCTTTAATTCATTTTTAACAAAAAAGGGTTATGAGGTAATAGTGCAGAAGAAGAAGAGTTTATCTGATTCGGCATTAAAAATGGCTCTATAGTCAACAGCTTGACAAACCCCCCTTACTCTTACCACATTAAGTCGGGTTCTCATGAGCTGGGTGGGCTATACTGAAGTAATGAAATTCTAACCGTTCTAGTGAGCAGTAGTGCGATCTTCCGCCGACGAAGCCGCTCTTAAATTAAACAATTGCTATTGTCGGTTTAAATTTAAATGACCAACAACAACAAAAAATGCCCCAACGATATGATGACGAAATCCGAATTTAAATTGTTACCAAAGAAAATTCTCCTACATCGTCAAAACACAAAAGTATGCCTAAGTTTCTAAAACAAGTGCTCCTGTCAATATTTTCCTTATTTCAGCTCTGTCTGCAGCCAAACGCCTAAAGAGCCGAGGTATCACCATCATAGCTATCTCAGTAGGGGGTGAAGGCAGCAAGGAGTTTGCAGGACTCTCTACAAGCCCGAGTGATTTCTACAGCGTCTCGTCTTTCGGCGAACTGTTAACCATCATTGTCAAAATAATCGAGCGTACGGTCAAAGGTAGGTGTGGGCCCTGTCTACAATCATTGTCAAAATAATCGAGCGTACGGTCAAAGGTAGGTGTGGGCCCTGTCTACAATCATTGTCAAAATAATCGAGCGTACGGTCAAAGGTAGGTGTGGGCCCTGTCAGCAATCATTGTCAAAATTATCGAGCGTACGGTCAAAGGTAGGTGTGGGCCCTGTCAACAATCATTGTCAAAAATAATCGAGCGCACGGTCAGATGTACGTGTAGCATCAACTAAACACTGAGGGGTGGGGTGCGACGGGTTTGTCTCATGTATCAAAAGGTGTTTAAGCTTATTACAAGAAGGTTCAGGGTGGGGGTGGGGTTGGGTGGGTCTTGCCGAGTGGGTCTCAAGATAAAGTGTAGCAAGGTTTGTTGTTAGAATATCGAGGTAGGGTTGACCTTCTGATGGGATAGCAAGGTTAAGCATCACAAAGTTTTGTTGTTTGACTATCGGGGAGGGGATGACCTTCTGATGGGATGGCAAGGTTAAGCATAACAAAGTTTGTTGTTTGAGTAAGAGGAAAGAGATTTTTAGGTGAGTTATAAGGCGAAGCGGAACAATGTTTGTTGCAAGAAACTCGACAGAAAGAATTTGCATGAGTTTTTTTTCGAGTAATGTTGAAACTTTAAAAATTATCATTACATTATATTGTTACAACATTAAAATTAAATACTATTAAAATTAAATACTAATTAATCAATTTATTTTCCTTTTTTTCCCCAGTGATTATTACGCCAGGTGAGGCCTAATTTTCTTCAATATTTACACGACTATACATCATTTAATATTAACATAGTATTTAACCCTTATTAAACTTTATTGGTGGTTTAGTGTTAGTTGTTATGTATGTGTTATCGTTGCGTTCGTTGGAAATTGTATCTAACTTTTTCTTCTTGTTTCGTTCATAGAAACTCTTGCTAACGAAGGTAAGTCTAGGATAAATACGGCGGTTCCCAAACGTTTTGTAACTGTGTCTATCTTTAAACAATCTTGACACCTACACCAACAATTTTAACGATTTGGGGACCCTTACTTATAGGAGAACAGCTTGTTTCGGATTTAACGTTCTTTTAAAAAAGAATATTGTTTTTAAAAATCTGTCTTATTTAGATTTCTCAGACATGTAATTTACAGCGTTAGTTTACCTTGCAATTTTGCCATTAGTATTATAGTTTTCATCATCGGCTTGTGAGGACTAGTACAAATTTACAAAAGTAATACTCTTTCTTGCATGTAGTTTCATTCATTGAAGTTGGTTTACTGATACATAATACAAAACGTCTAATTTCAATTTTATTTCTTTTTAAATCTGAAAATTTAAATGTTATATATATATATATATATATATATATATATATATATATATATATATATATATATATATATATATATATGGCCTCTCAAAAAAGCGGGGGAGGGGGCATTTTTTCAAGTTCCGCCATTGAATGGACCTTAATAACACGAGTGCTTAAACTAATGTATGTAATCTAAGTTATGGACCAAACCTTCCTAATTTATATGTAAATATTGATAAAATCTAGAGAATAAAATCTCTCGATGTATAACTGATAAGTTTTACATGTAGGGGATAGGCTTATTTTTTTTTTATTTTGGTGCACGAGCACCTATAAGTTGTCTCTGATTGACGCCACTTGTCTTGTACTTGAAGAATCGTACTCGTCCATGGTGGACCTGTTCTTCCTGATGGAGTCCGGCACTAGTGTGGGCAGCAGCAACCACAGGAAGGTGCTCGAGTTCTTCTCCGGCCTGGTCAAGCCCTTCAGTGTGGGGGACAGGGGCGCTAGGGTGGGGGCGCTGCTCTACAGCGACAGGGCGCAGAAGCTGTTTGACCTGAAAACTCTGGGAACCAAGGATTCAATCGTCAAGGTATGGTGTGTGTGACGCTCACGTGCACTTACAGATAGGATAAGCAGGCAGGCTGATTCATTACGCTACAATTAGAATATATCTTTCAGTCAGCTCTGCATTACTCCAAAGTAAAACACCTACATTGTATTATATTTTATCTCTTAGAAATACTAATATAAATTAGTGGCTTATTAATGCTCCTTGACTCTAACGACCGAATCATCATATTTTTTTTTTATTATGTCGCACTTGTTCATATAAGCAATAAACGTACTTATATATCATGTCATTATTGTTCCTCTTCTTGCCTTGTAGAACATACTGTCTCCGTCAAAACTTTCCACTACCCACAGTCTCATGCCACTCTAATCTGATGTTCCCAAATCCTTCCTACCCTTTCAGCTTCCTCCAGCACTCTACGTAGCCATATCTTCCTAGGTCGATCCCTTGGGGTTTCACTCCAATGTCTGACTGGATCTGCTGCCAGTGTGTTTCTTTAGCCTGTGGCCGATCCATACCCATTTTCCTTTGTGAAGGACTATTGTTTTTCTAATATTATATACACACACACCCATATATATATATATATATATATATATATATATATATATATATATATATATATATATATATATATAACCTTTTATGCTACCATCTACTTCATCCAAGTTACGCCACTAAGTCAATGTATTCAGTTAACTTGCATAATACACGTGGCGTTATAAATTGACAAAAAAGTACAGTTTTCTAGCCCCATTGATTATAAACTCCTGTAATTCCAGACTATCCTGAACGCCCCCTACCTCGGTGGACGTGCCAACAGTTACGTCGCGTTCAACAATCTGCTGAGTGTGTTTACGATCCAGTCTGGCGGTCGTCTGAACGCTAAGCGAGTCGTCGTTTTCTTGACCGACGAAAAAACGGATAAAGATTCATTAAGTAAGCGTGTGTGGATACAATATAGTTTTATACAAATTTTAAAGTAAATTTGTTAAACGATTGTCTTGCCCGTTTGAAATGTGGATTCTTCGTGTTTCTTCCAGCTCGCAAGGCGGCGCTGCTGGTGAAAAACTTTGGTGTCATCGTGTTGGCTATTGGGGTGGGGGATGTGGAGATGACGTTTCTCCGGTCAGTGGCCAGTAGCAGCTCCGATGTGTTCTGGGTCACGGGCTTTGATGAGCTGGCCAGCATCAGGTGGGCCATCTCACACCAGATCTACTACAGTGAGTGACGTTTGCTTTCATTATTGCGTGGTTGGGGGGGGGTGTTTTAATGTTGAGAGGCGGGGGAGTTGTTTTATTGTTGAGAGGCGGAGGGAGTTGTTTTATTGTTGAGAGGCGGAGGGAGTTGTTTTATTGTTGAGAGGCGGAGGGAGTTGTTTTATTGTTGAATAATGGGGGGAGTTGTTTTATTGTTGAGAGATGGAGGGAGTTGTTTTATTGTTGAGAGGCGGAGGGAGTTGTTTTATTGTTGAATAATGGGGGGAGTTGTTTTATTGTTGAGAGGCGGAGGGAGTTGTTTTATTGTTGAATAATGGGGGGAGTTGTTTTATTGTTGAGAGATGGAGGGAGTTGTTTTATTGTTGAGAGGCGGAGGGAGTTGTTTTATTGTTGAATAATGGGGGGAGTTGTTTTATTGTTGAGAGATGGAGGGAGTTGTTTTATTGTTGAGTAATGGGGGGTGTTGTTTTATTGTTGAGAGATGGAGGGAGTTGTTTTATTGTTGAGAGATGGGGGGGGGATGTTTTAATTTGATTTGGGTGGAGATTTTATTGTTAAGAGGTGGGGGGGAGTTAGTTTATTTCAACCGTAATGGTTGAAGGTGGGCGTTTGATTCCAGTGAGGTGGGGGTGTTTCATTCTTAGGACATGGAGGTTTCATTAGACTTGGGAAAGCAGTACAGTTCGTTCTATAATACAGACACAATTTTGTAATTCGGACTTTGAAATAACGCGGTATTATAAACAATATAGCTAAATATTAAATCTGTCCGTTAAAATAAACACAGTAATAGAATATAACAAAATAATAATTTGAAACATTTTTTTCTGTTTTTCAGTTGTGTCAGAGTGCGAAGAAGGTAATTATTTTCAAAAATTTGTAATTACTTTACATTGTTTATGGTGTTAATTAGCTATGAATAAGTTGACTATTTACTTCGTCACTTTACAAACAGATCAGCCTCTAACTGTTTAAATGGTTGTAAATTTTATTTTATAAATGGCATGAACGAGAAACTAAAATAAAAGTAAAATATTGTTTTACTAAAGCGTTGATTTTGTTTACATTTTTAAAATACAGAATGAGCTGAGTTGATTTAGATTTTAACAATTAGTCAAAATTTTGAATTCTGAAGTTTTGAAAGAAATGTTTTTATTTCCAGAACTGCACCAAAAGGGTGAGTTGATATGTAAATTATTGACTTTGATGTGTTGGGTGTGCAATGTGTTGTGTGTAATGAGGGCTGTGTAGATTACATATTGTGGGGTTATGTCACGTGATATTATAGTCTACATGTAAGGAGTAAATAGAATGTAATGGGTTGAGTTGTTCTATTATAGCACGCTGGTTAATTAACTCATCTCTGCCCCCCCCCCCCCCCTCACCACCACCACCTACCAACCTCAACATCTTACCCTCTACCAAAAAACAGAAGTAAAGGTAAATTATCAGCCAAATTAACGAACCTAGCATCAAAACAAACTTGTGTGTGTGCGTGTGTGTGTGCGTGCATGTGTGTGTGTATGTGTATGTGTGTGTGTGTGTGTGTGTGTGTGTGTGTGTGTTATGACTACAGCCCGAAATATCTACAATAATTTAAAATATTTTGTTGTATTTCAGAGATTCCCGAAAAGCAAGGTTTGTGTATAATACATCCTACTTTTTCAATGTGTTAATTTCTCTCTTACATTTCCTGCCTTAGTGTGGAAACTAAATATTTTGCATTCATGTTGTGTTAATTCAACTATTTGTCAACATGTATTTATGTGTATCTTCTATTTTGACATATTACATACACACGCATTTATATATATATATATATATATATATATATATATATATATATATATATATATATATATATATATATATATATATATACTGTTTACTAGTCTGTTTACTTTTTTCTCACCACAGAGATTCCGAAAATGCCAGGTAGGCCTATGTGCTACTGCTCACGCATTGAATTACACACATCGACTTACACACATCGACCTACACACATCGACTTACACACATTGACTTACACACATTGACTTACACACATTACACACATTGACTTACACACATTACACACATTGACTTACACACATTACACACATTGACTTACACACATTACACACATTGACTTACACACATTGACTTACACACATTACACACATTGACTTACACACATTACACACATTGACTTACACACATTACACACATTGACTTACACACATTGACTTACACACATCGATTTACACGGCTGACAAGTTTACTTTACATTGTTCAGTTAATTGTAACAGCTTAATTTTAGAGCTTCAGCATTTTCTAGTTCATATTAATAATATGCTGCAATACGTTATACAATAATATATCTTTAATTTATCTTTACTATATCTTTAAAATATCTTTAATATATCTTGAAAACTTTCTTTCAGACACCAAAGTTAAGCTGCCACGTATGCTAAATATTTAACTTTTTTTTAATTTAGTTTTTTTTTTTAAATAGATGTATTTTTTTTTTTAATGTGTAATACTGGTGACAATCGAGTGTGAATAACAGTTACTTCCCTTGCATGTTTAGCAACACCTTTTGTTGAATGTGGTATTCGTTAACTCCTTTAAACAAGTCTTCATCTCTATTTCTGAAAGCTCGCCACCATCCAATCTCTGCCATCCTCCATCCATCTACCATCCTCCATCCTCCATCCACCTTCCACCTTCCACCTTCCTCCATCCACCATCCACCATCCACCATCCACCATCCACCATCCTCCATCCTCCATCCACCATCCACCATCCACCATCCTCCATCCACCATCCACCATCCACCATCCACCATCCACCATCCACCAACTTCCATCTTCCATCTTCCATCTTTCATCTTTCATCTTCCATCCACTATCCACCAGTGTTACGGGTCAGTGTAGGTTAGACTAGAATAGGATAGAATGATCTAGAATTAGGGGAGAGTGAGTGTGTGAGTTGAGTTTACCCTAGAATATTGTTAACCCCGGTGTGTTTGTGTATTGTTATCCCAAGGTCGAATGCGGTATAAAAGCTGGAGTGAATGGTTGTCAGGGTTAGTTAGTTGGCAGTCAGCGGGTTAGTAGCGGTTAGGACGAGGGCTGTTATGGTACGCTTGAATGCATTGAGACAAATAAAAGGAGTGAAGTTATACACGAAGTGTTGTTCTTGAATTCGAAGCTAACCCGGACGTAACAACTGGTGGCCAGTATTAAAGTAAAGATAGCGCAATCATCAGAACGTCATTACCACTGGACGTCACCACCACTAGACGTCACCATCACTAGACGTCATCATCACTGGACTATACCATTCTGGGACCATAAGAACGTCATTACCACTGGGAGTCACCATCGCTAGACGTCACCATCGCTAGACGTCACCATCACTAGACGTCATCATCACTGGACTATACCATCCTGGGACCATCAGAACGTCAGTACCACTGGGAGTCACCATCACTAGACATCACCATCGCTAGACGTCACCATCACTAGACGTCATCATCACTGGACTATACCATCCTGGGACCTTACCCGAACAGAAAGTCGCAATCAGAACGTCATTACCACTGGACGTCACCACCACTAGACGTCACCATCGCTAGACGTCACCATCACTTGACGTCATCATCACGGGACTATACCATTCTGGGACCTTACCTGAACAGAAAGTCGCAATCATAACGTCATTACCACTGGACGTCACCACCACTAGACGTCACCATCGCTAGACGTCACCATCACTAGACGTCATCATCACTGGACTATACCATCCTGGGACCTTACCTGAACAGAAAGTCGCAATCAGAACGTCATTACCACTGGACGTCACCACCACTAGACGTCACCATCCTGAGACCTTACCAGAACAGAAAGTCGCCATCACTGGGTTCTACCATCCTTGGACTTTATCAGAACAGGAAGTCGCCATCACGGGATTTTACCATCTTTGGACTTTATCAGAACAGAAAGTCGCCATCACTGGGTTCTACCATCCTTGGACTTTATCAGAACAGAAAGTCGCCATCACTGGGTTCTACCATCCTTGGACTTTATCAGAACAGAAAGTCGCCATCACTGGGTTCTACCATCCTTGGACTTTATCAGAACAGAAAGTCGCCATCACTGGGTTCTACCATCCTTGGACTTTATCAGAACAGAAAGTCGCCATCACTGGGTTCTACCATCCTTGGACTTTATCAGAACAGAAAGTCGCCATCACTGGACTCTACCATCCTGTGACCTTACCAGCACAGAGCCTTACCGTCACAGGGCTTTTGTCTTTGTCGATCCAGGTCTTCGTCTTCACATGACCCGGCCATTACAGGATTTACCATTGTTTTTGAAGGGCTAAAGTAGGGGAAGGGACTACTACAACAGATTTGTATTTGAGGTAAGTGTTTTTGAATTAGTCTGGGGCACGGTACTCACAACTGGGGATTACCCTTGCCTAACATTATATTGGGTATTACAATTTTGGCATCCAATCCTAAGTGGATAAGGTGGGATGGCTAGCGAAGGCTTAACGCTAGAGCATTTTATAGCGTTAGGGGAAAGATGTAAACTAGAGGGAAGGGAGCTGTTGGAATGGGCTGAGACTAAATTGTTAGTAGCGGAGTCTAAGGCTAGGCAGCAGGCTGAAAGGGACGAGAGGGCTGCAGACAGGGCACTAACTAGGGCTAAAATTGAATCAGAAGAAAGACTAAAATTGAAGGAGCTGGAACTGGCAATGGAGAAGGGGAACAGGGAGGAAGACATAAAGGGCAGGGGTAGGGCACAGACCCCAAGAATTAAGCTGACTGGACTGAGAAACAGTAGGGACCAAACAGATATGGAGGTGGTGGTTGACATTTTTGAAAGGGAAGCCCGAGAAATAGGTTTAGAAGATAAGTTTTGGTGCCACGAGTTTAGGAAAGTTTTGCTAGATATAGGCTGCGAATCGTGGTTAACAGAATTGGGAGCAGAAGAGAACTATGGGAAGCTGAAAAGGGAGGTCCTAAAACACTTTGGTTTGACGGAGCAAGGATACAGTGATAAGTTTAATAGCGCCCAACCATCAGAACAAGACAGAGCAGGGAGTTACATTAGGAGGGTACGACACTACTTGAGAAGATGGGTCGAAGCTAGCAAGTGTGACAAGACATTTGACGGACTGTTTGACCTACTCTTAAAAGACAAAATAGTGAGAACAGTCGGACAAGACATAAGACAGCACATCCTCAGACAAAACCCGAGGACAATAGCAGACGTAGAAAATGCCTGTGACAACTACTTTGACATCTACCCAGACAGAAAATTAAAACCGATCGACGTGACAGAGGACGCATTTGTTGCCCCCATGGCACTTGCATCAGGATCTAGGAATCCCTTTAGAGAGGACAAGGACAAACGAACCCTAAGACCTAGATCTAAGAGCCCCATTAGAGAGGAATGGGGCACAAGAAATGAAGTCACCCTTCAACGGGAGAGAAGAGGACAAAGCCCGGTCCAACCTAGGCCGAGTAGTAATATTAGTCCCAGAAGAAGCCCAATCACATGCTTTAACTGTGGGGCTGAGGGGCACATAGCGGCGGGGTGCCGGTCTAATCGTAGACAAATTGGACATGAGTACAGAGGGAGAAGGGTAGGCTTCAGGGACATTCAAGACATATGACTAGTACCAGAGTTCAGCGGGGAGTGCGGCGACTGTGGACAATGCCTAAGTCAAGTAAAGGGCGCTGTCCCTGTAGGGAACATAGGAGCTAATCGGAGATTCATAAGCGACAGAGGGTCACTTCCTATAGTTGCAGGAAAACTGGATGGGAGGACGGTGACCGTCCTACGGGATACGGGCTCTGTAGTCGTAGCTTGTCGAAAAGCTCTAGTCCCAAGGAATAGATGGACAAAAGAATGGATAACCATAAAGACCGCGGATGGAGATAAGAAAAGAGTACCAGGAGCTGTAGTCAACATAGAAACACCATACCTTACGGGAGAGTTCTTTGCCGTCCTTTTAGATGATCCACCCGCTGAACTTATAATAGGGAATGTAGCAGGCGCGAAATTACCGAGGGAAGATTCGCTAACATTAGCGGCGGTAGAAACCAGAGGACAACTTAGAGCAGGGGGCAACCAGAGAAATGAGCCGGGGCATAAGATTTTAGACCAAATAACGACATCGAAAGATTTTAAAACGCAACAGAGCGAAGACAAAACATTAGCTAGGTGGTGGAAGCTCTCGGAAAAGGGCAAACAATGTAAAACGATAGATGGGTTATTATATAAGATCATAAAACACAGCAAAACAGAAGATCAGATTAGACTAGCAATCCCAAGGGGACTTAGGCCCACCATCCTGAAATTAGGACACGACACACCTATGGCGGGGCACATGGGTGTAGCAAGAACGAAAGCCAGAATTCTGTCACAATTTAGCTGGCCAGGGGCAGGGGAGGATATCAGGCGTTACTGCGAAAGTTGTGATGTCTGCCAGAAAAGCAAAAAGAATGTTGGTGGCAAGGCGCCTCTGGGTAGAACTGAGGTAGTGGGACAACCGTTTGAGAAAATCGCCGTAGATATTGTGGGGCCACTAACTCAAACGAAAAAAAAGAACAGATTCATACTCACAGCCGTAGACATATGCACACGGTGGCCAGAAGCCGTACCGCTGAAAAGTGTAACGGCAGCAGAGATCCAAGATGCGCTACTCTCCATCTTCACGAGGATGGGATTCCCGGAAGTCATACTCTCAGATAACGGGACCCAGTTCACGTCGGAAATTTTCTGCACCGTGTCTAAAATGTTGGGGATTAAAATCATTCACGCTTCGGCATATCACGCCATGGCCAACGGGGCGGTAGAACGATGGAATGGAACTTTGAAGGAAATGCTAAAGAAAGTAGCTATAGACAAGGATGACGATTGGGACGTGTTCATCCCAGCAGCACTTTTCGCCTACAGAGAAGTTCCAAACGAAAGCACTGGTTACCCGCCATTCGAACTTATGTTCGGCAGGAAAGTGAGGGGCCCGATGAGCATCCTAAAGGATATCCTCACAGGAGAAGTAAGGGAATATAAGACAAGAGCTGCATATGACTACCTGCTGGACCTTAAGCAGCAGTTGCAAACGGCATGCAGTTATGCAACCCGCAAATCGGAAAATGAGAAAGATAAAGCAAAGAGCTACTACGATAGATCAGCCACAACCAAAGATATCAAAGTGGGGGATCATGTACTGATACTGAAGCCCCAACTATTAAACAAACTTGAGCTAAGGTGGGCGGGACCTTACGAAGTCTTAAAAAAAATCGGAGACTTGGACTATGTTATTAAAACAGGGGACAGCACTAAGGTGGTCCATGTAAATCGGATGATGCTGTACCATCACAGACAAAAACCAGACGACAGCAAGGGACACCCCATGTTAGCGGCAGTGTCAGGAGTGGTGGAGGAAGAAGAAGAAAACCAAGTATCACTAACAGATGAGGAGGACATGGAACCGGGTATTCCATTGGACACAATAAAAACTCCCGACATACTGGAGGAAACTAAGTTAAGTGATATCAAAATAGGAGACACCCTGACAAAAACACAGCGGACGGATCTAGACAAAATTATCCAAGAGTACACAGCTGTAATTAGCAACTTACCTGGAAAAACAAGTTTACTAGAACATAAAATAAAACTGACCAACACCAGAGCAATAAGGACGAAACCCTACTGCATACCATACGCCCGAAGAGAGCTTATGAAGAAAGAGATGGACGAAATGGAGAGACTGGGGATAATAGAGAGGTCCGACTCCGACTTCAGCGCACCTGTAGTACTAGTTAAGAAAAAAGATGGGTCGACACGGTTCTGTGTAGACTATAAGAGACTTAACGCAGTCACAGTCTACGACGCGGAACCCATCCCAGATACAGATGAGCTGTTCGCTAAATTAAATAGGGCTAAATATTTTACTAAACTCGACCTCACAAAAGGGTATTGGCAGATCCCCATGCAAAATGACAGCAAAAAACTCACCGCATTTGTCACACCCTGGGGCCTATTTCAGTTTAATTACCTGCCCTTTGGCCTATGCACGGCACCCGCCACATTCGCCAGATTAATGCGAGTCGTATTAAAAGACTTGGAAAATGTGGTGTCATTTTTTGATGACATCTGTATCTACAGCGAGACATGGGAGGAACACCTTATGGCAATAAAGGCGGTGTTCAATAGATTGAGGGACGCGGGCCTGACAGTAAGACCTGCCAAATTAGAGCTAGGGTTTGAAAAAATTAATTTCCTAGGGCACATAGTGGGGAGGGGGCTACTGACACCAGAGAGAAACAAGGTAAACAAAATCTTAAACGTAGCAATACCCACCACAAAGAAAGAGGTAAGATCATTAGTGGGTCTTATAGGGTATTATGCTAAATTTATACCAGAATTCAGCGAGGCCAACGCAATACTGACAGACTTGTTAGCAAAGGGTAAACCTGAAAAGGTCGTGTGGTCAGATGAATGTAACCGTGCTTTAAGACTGGTCCAGAAACACTTGAACTCAGAACCATTTCTTATTTTACCTAATATTAATGAGCAATTTATCCTCAGGACCGACGCCTCGTCACGAGGTATCGGGGCAGCCTTGATGCAAATGAGAAATGGGGTCCTAAGACCAGTAAAATACATCAGCAGAAAACTCCAACCGAGAGAAACTCGGTACTCTACTATAGAAAGAGAGTGCCTAGCAATTGTCTGGGCCACAGGCAAACTAGCGTTGTATTTATACAACGCTAGCTTTGTACTGCAGACGGACCAGCGTGCTCTAAAATACCTTCATAAATGTAGGTTCAATAATGCCAGACTGACACGCTGGTCCTTACTGCTACAGGAATATAAATTTACTATAGAACACATTCCGGGGAGGGATAATCTTCTAGCGGATTTTTTGTCAAGAAATTTTAAATCGGGAGTCTGAGATGTAAATTGTAATTTAAACCACAGATTTGTTGGTTTGTTTTTTTTTTTTTGCTGTTTTCTTTTTCGGTTATTTTTACTCGGTTGTTTGTCTTGGATTCATGTACAAAGAGATGTATAAATGCATTATTTATTTACTCTCCTCTTGGTGTAGTATACCTGTCGAATCATTATTTTTTTTTTTTTTTGTTTTTTTTTTAATTATTTTATTTATCTATTTATCTAGTTTGTCTCTGTTTGTTTTCGCCCTCTAGGTTAACTTAGGATTTGGGGATTTAGTTAGTATTTGTAGTATGTACTACAAATACTTGGGTGGGGGGGGGGGGTAGTGTTACGGGTCAGTGTAGGTTAGACTAGAATAGGATAGAATGATCTAGAATTAGGGGAGAGTGAGTGTGTGAGTTGAGTTTACCCTAGAATATTGTTAACCCCGGTGTGTTTGTGTATTGTTATCCCAAGGTCGAATGCGGTATAAAAGCTGGAGTGAATGGTTGTCAGGGTTAGTTAGTTGGCAGTCAGCGGGTTAGTAGCGGTTAGGACGAGGGCTGTTATGGTACGCTTGAATGCATTGAGACAAATAAAAGGAGTGAAGTTATACACGAAGTGTTGTTCTTGAATTCGAAGCTAACCCGGACGTAACAACCATCCACCATCCACCATCCACCATCCACCATCCACCATCCACCATCCACCATATACCATCCACCATCCACCATCCACCATCCTCCATCCACCATCCACCATCCACCATCCACCATCCACCATCCACCATCCACCATCCACCATCCACCATCCTCCATCCACCATCCACCATCTTCCATCTTCCATCTTTCATCTTCCATCCACCATCCACCATCCACCATCCACCATATACCATCCACCATCCACCATCCACCATATACCATCCACCATCCACTAACCTCCATCCCCAGCACCCGTCCACCCGTGCCGCATCAAGGCGGACGTCATCTTCTGTCTCGACTCCTCCGGCAGTATCGGCCCGGGCAACTACCAGACGATGCTCCAGTTTGCTGCCGAGCTGGCCTCAAACTTCCCGCTGGGGAAAGACCTCGCTGCCATCGCCTGTGTCGTCTTCAGTAACGTCGCCAACAGACGATTCGACCTGGGGGATTACACGTCAGTCAGTGATGTCACTGAGGTAAACAAAATGTTTGGTGTGAAGGGTCATAGGTAAATTGACGACGTCATTGGGGTAAATTATTAGAGTTAGATAGGAAGGATTATACACTAATTAGTGACGTTACTTGGATATTTTTTTAAAATTGAGAATAGAAATACCTTTTAAAAAGTTTCTTTATTTATACTTTGTTTAAAATAAACTGACTGTTGTAATTAAAATTATTTTATCCTATTTCTAAATCAGTAAAAACATTGCCACCTCTATAGTTAAAATATATGGATCGTTTTTCTAGCTTTAAAATGGACCATTATTATTATTACTATTACTATGTTGACGGTTTTTCTTCTTTGTAACATTTCTCTTGTTAATTAATTGTACTGTAGTATTTTACTTTCAGCCCCCACATCTAAACTCACACACACACACACACACCTGAACTAAAACACACACACCTGAACTCAGCCACAATTACCCGTCATGACACTTAACGCCAACCCCACACCTAAACTCAAAAACACCCCCACACCTCACCTCACAATAAACACGCACACCTAAACTCAAATACCCACCCACACCTAAAATCACACACGCATATAAACTCAAACACATACACACCTGAGCTCAAATACCCACCCACACCTAAACTCACACACACACGTGAACTCAAACACACACACACTTGAACTCACACACCCAACTTACCCTCATCCACAAACACCCATTTACCACATGACATGACGTCACGTGTATGTCGTCACCCCAGGCCCTACTGCTGACGCCTTACCTGGAGTCAACGACCAACACACACCTGGCCTTCCAGCTCATCTCTAATCTCGACATGTTCGACTCCGAGTCAGGCGGTAGAGACGACGCAGCAAAAATCGTTATCTTCATGACCGATGGTCAATCCACCCACCCAGAATTGAGTAAGAAAAAGTTTTTAAACATGTTTATTAATTAACAGATGTCAGTCTCATTAACGATGGGCAACATAGAGGTCCAGAATCGATTAGAAAAACTATTTTTAAAATGTTTCTGAGTTGTAACCAGACCGCAATAGCTAAGCTTAAACCTCCCCCTGGCTATCACTATTACCCTAATCCTAGCCGTCCTGGAAACTAATCTTCGACTAGTAAAGTTCCGAGGCAAATGAAGTAGAGTTCACCTGTTTCTGTACCTCGACATATGAAGTGATAGAGTAGTCAGCACTATGGCCAGCCGGCTTTACTTTCTCCAACAAGAGTTAGGTACTCATCAGATCTGAGTGGACTCAGTGGAGTTCTATTAACTTAAACCCATATTCGAGATATACTGGTACAGAAACAAATATCCTTTTTTACACTACCGTCCCCCCCCCCCCCCGTGCACCTCCAGAGCTGTAGAGGCAGCACAACCTAACCCTTACCAGTAAAGAAACAAATCTCCTTACACTGCCGTCCCTGTGTTCTCATAAGCCCCTGTACATGTACCCCCACAGCTGTAGAGGCAGCACAACCTAACCCTTACCAGTACAGAAACAAACCTCCTTACACTACCGTCCCTGTGTTCTCATAATCCCCTGTCCATGCACCTCCACAGCTGTAGAAGCAGCCCAGCGCCTACAGCTTCAGGGTGTCAACATCTTCTCTATCGGCATCGGCAACTACACGCTGAGTGAGCTCATCAGTGTGGCCAGTGACCCCAGGTACGTCTTCACGGCCTTGGACTTCAAGTTCCTGGACAAGGTCAAGGAGAAGGTCGCAGAAAAAGCTTGCGAGGGTATTTCAAATTTTCATTGTCGTTACATTCACAATCATCATCACAATTATCATCATAGTTTAACCTACTGGATTATTATCATATTTATTATCGTTTATACTATTATTATATTCAACATCCTTTATATAATTGTTATATTCACTAGCGTTATCTTTACTAATATTATTATAATTATTATCATTATTATTATTATTTTTTTTATTACTATCGGTATCATTATCGTTATCGTTATTATTATTACTGCCGTTATTATTGTTATTATTAGTAGTAGTAGTAGTAGTAGCATTTTATTGTTATTATCATTATTATTACCGTTATTTTTTTATTTATTTTTTTATAAATAATGATTGTTAGCTATGTAATCGTGATCACATTGCTAGTCACTATCGTCGTATTAATATTATTCCATTGACTTCGTAATCATAAAAATCATCGTCATCATCGTCGACACTACAAACACCATCTAAACCAACATGGTTTCGTTTTGTCGTTTCACTTATCTATGGTCAACAAAGTCTTTTAAATATTAATTTGTAGTTACTTTAAATAACCTTAATCATGCATGTCTTGATGCTATAGCACAATTATAATTAAATTATATATCTTTTATTTCACCAGTACCAAAAGAACAGAAGCCTACAAACTTTGCGAAATTTGCCTCATTTAATGAAGAGATATGACACGATTAACTATGGCTGTAAAAGAAGTCGAGTAATGCTTAGGCTATCCATGATACAAGTTATGGATTACTTTCATACATTATTTAACTTTAAATAAATACATTATTTTTAAAAATCTAAAGAGATAACTCTATATAGGCCTTAAAAATATCTACTCTGTTCTCATTCTTTAATAAACCATTTTAAATCATATGCGAAGTTATTTTTATTTTTGTTTTGTTACAAGTCGCCTGAAAATTTTTATAATACTGTGTATAAATTACAGAGAAAAAACATTTTAAAAATTTTAAGTTTAATGTTCTATACAGGTAATTTTTTTTTAATAGTATGGGCTAAAAAATTCAAATCGAACACAATTATCAAACACTAAAAGCTGTCAACTAATTTACTTAATGTTGTCAATACATTGTTAACTCGACGCTTAGTATTTAATAACATATTACGTGTTAGCAAAGCAATGTATACATACACTATACATATTAGCAGTAAATATTTGACAGGTCTATTATGTTTAAGTGGACATGAGTAAAAAAATAATAAATGGTTGACCCTTTGGTTTTCCGTTCTCTAAACAACAAATCAACACGTTTAAGTTTTAAGCCGTATTTTGTGTTAATGAAGGACCACTCTGTTTTAACTACACACTATTTTTTTACTGAGTTACTTCCCCTATGTTGTTAGAGTTCTCTTCTCCCTTGCACGAATCCAGCACAAAACGATCTCCCACTTACCCCAGAGTCGTTATTAGAATTTTTATACCTTCCTGATTATGTTTCTACTCCGTATCGTACACGGACCATAATTCTGGCTCAAGTTAAACAACTACACCGGCTGAAAAAAAAAAAACAGTTGATGCTACACTTTTTTGCCCGGTAGGTAATCATCAAAGTATTTGCCTATTGAAATTAGCCTTACTACTCTTCTCACGAAAAAAAAACGAATTTATGGAAAAATCTTACATTCCTCGTCGAGCCTGCAGTGTGGAAATTCAAATCATACACACCTTCATAAAACGTATGTTGAAATTTTTGTTAAAGCAAGTCTATATTTACGAAAAACATGACACTATTCATTTTAAAAAAACGACCATCTGACTTTGAAACTAGGATGAAGAAATTAGTATCAATCTTATGGAAAGAAGAAACAGACGCAAATTTGTGTAGCTCTATGTAAAAGAAAAGTGTCAAGCTTAACAAGAATTACTCATCGTTATCTTGACGCCACGTAAGAGTTATTAGTATCTACATAATCGGTTGTCCATTTAGATGTGAGTCATTGTGCAGCCGCCCATGCATGTCTACTTTCTGAACTGAAAACTTTGTTGCATCAGAATTACCAGGTGCGGACAAATACAACACCTCCCCCACCCCTTGTCTGGATATTAGAACTACAACAACCGCCATGTCAGCATGTTGACTACATTACTAGTCATTTATGCAGTAAAACTTTAAACTTTCGTCTCTGCATCTCAATACACCGGTCACACATGTTCTTTGTTTCAAACTATAAAATAGTAGATTTCGATCAGGTAAAAAAACGCATATAATTATGCACAGTTGGAATAATTGCTTCTTTCTCGTGGAGCAGTCACTACAACAGCTGCTCAAGTAAAACATGAATTGACAATATATTTACATTTTTGTTTTACACAGGTATTGTATATACTTGTCAAATGTTTAGACAGGAATTTTATAGACGTGTCTACCATTTGCTATAGACAGGAATTATAAATACTTGTCAAATATTTGGTTTAGCAGTAATTATATATACTTTTATCAAATGCTTGTTTGTATAATAATATATACCTGTAAATATTTTTAGACAGGAATTGTATATTATCATCATCCCTTAACGCCCATCGGCGCACGAGGCATCAACACGTGAGCGGTTAGCGTACCGGATAGGTGAAAGATCATCATTCGACGTCAACCGTTTGCAACGAAACCCCTAGTTTACATGTTATGTCATCCTCACAACACGGCGCCAGACACGTACTCTTTACATAGTTCAAATACCATAAGTAAAAAAACAGTTTCTTCCAGGAATCTCTTCGCCCCCCCCCCCCCCCCCCCCGCCCCGGAACGAAATGGTATTTATATAGGAAATATATACATTTAACAGTGTCCGCCCCCCCACCCCCCGAAAATTTTAAGTGTCGTCCCCCCCTCCTGCCCCGTAGAAAAAAATCTACTCACAGACTCGCATATGTACCATCGTCTTGTAGGTACGTCTCTAGTTGGGTTTTTTTCCATTTAGGTTCCCATTCAGCCAACATTTATAATTGTTTTTGTATTTTCGTTTTAATACGTTATTAGCCCAGATTTACGTTGTAACTGCATATATGTTTGTGCTTCGTCCACAAAACATTTTAGGTGAAAATATGGATCCGCCCCTCCTTCTACCTATTCCTTCCACCCCCCCCCCCCCCCCCCCCCCCCCCGCCCCTTCACTCTTAGCATTAATGAGTCACGTCATTATGGAAATTATGAAACAGCTTTTCAACGTCAGGTATTAAAAAGAGCAATGAACTGCCTCTTTCTCATTTCAACCTACGGGTAAGTAAAAAACTGTATAGTTTTGGAGCATCCATTTGCTGCACTTCACATACGATAAATCAAACACTGTATGATCATTTTTGTTGTTTTTTTACAACGTGGGTTTGTTCAACTCGAATTTATTTTATTTTTTTAGTTAAAATTTAAGCTTTTAAGTTATTATATTTACTTTAAGAATTAAAAATATGGTGAGTGTATTAGTCTCAGATAGATTATGCTACCGAGATGCCAGGACAATCTGCTTAACATAAAGATAAAAACAAATGGTAGCTGCAGTGAGGTTAATGCAATTAGTAATAAAACAGATAGTGTTAGTTTTAACATAGAACTGTTTTCAATGCCAGTTTTTTTGTTTCCGATTAAATTTGAAGTTGAGGTGGTGATTTTGGATTTTGTTTCGGTTTAGAGAAAAAGACAACACTATCAACCTTACACCCGTTGCATTTCTCCATCAACGGGCCATTTATTTAGTTATTATTAATGACAACGTTGGTTGGGTATGAAATAGAAAGTAAAATATGTTTTTTAAACGCCAACTAAACCTGGATTTATTCATGATATTTCCATGAATGTACTTTTAATGCATGAAATCTTAAGACAATATTTAAACTCAATACGTGAATACACATTTTTTTTTAAATAAATTTGTTAGAACACATTTTCGGTGGTTTCAATCTTTAATAATAAAAAATAGTTAAGGGACGTAATTTGATTTGGTTTTGACGAATTTTGGTTTCAGCAATATTTCCAAGTATTAACGTGTCAACGTTTTTATATTTTATTATCAAAGAATTTTCTACAAAAATTATAAAAGTAAATACACACAATTATAAAATAAATATGGAGTGGCCTAGCGGTAGAGAGCTGGACTGCTAACCCGTTAGTCTCGAGTTCGAATCCGCGTCCAAGTCAGTAGACCGTCCCTGTATCCACCCAACTCTGATGGGTACCAAACTCACGTTAGTGAAAGTAAAGGCGGCTGGGCATAGTGCTAACCACACTATCTCTTCATATGCCGAGGTCACAGAAACAAGTGAACTCTACTCTGTTTGCCTCGTAGACCGTCAGGTTTGAAAGGGAACTTTACTTTTACACAAATGAGGCTTATAATTATTCCACAGAAAATGTTTTTAACATGAAGAGAGGAGCGGAAGACAACGAAAGAGAAAATCCTAGTCAATACATTGTAGTCTACGCACACAATACTTCACGAGAAATTTTGCTTGAGATAATAATATGAGATGTTTTATATGACATTTTCTTTGAGATATTTTTATGATATATTTTCTATATTTTCTATGAAATATTTTCTATTATATATTTTTATGACATATTTTTATGACATTTTTTCTATGATATATTTTCTATGACATATTTTTATGACATATTTCCCATGATATATTTTCTATGATACATTTTTTATCCCAGTTAATTGGTCTGAGATATTTTGTTTGACACAATTGTTCTGATAATATTTTGTTGTAGATATATCTATGAAATATTTTATCTGATATACTATTTAGAAACTTTGAGATATTAACTTCAATTTTCTCAACAGCCGACTGTGTTTAGCTTTGAAACGGTTGTGACAGCCAGAAATACATGATGAGAGGACATAGCCTCGTGTTTTTGGTGTTGTTGACCGTTGCGTCAGTGGCCAGTGCGGCACCAGGTAGCTTACGTTTATATATTTTGTCCTTTCTAAGATCAAATTACGTCAGAGAAGAAATTTTTAAAACGCTGGCAAATGGGGCGGTAGGAAACTTAAGTAACAGAATGAAAATCTAGTTAGGTCTGGCTTGTGGTGGTGTTGGTGACAAAGGCCATCGCGAGGGTGGTATTCATGCCGGTGTTGATTAGGTAGCGGTGTGAACGGAGGTGAATAATATGGTAGCAAATTTGTTGGCGATTGCAGATGGTAGTTATGGTGTAAGCCATTAGAAAGGTAGTGTTCATGTCGCAGACGTAAACGGAGGTAGTATTCACATTAGAGGTCAAAGACAGGAACAGAGGCGTAGCGACCCTTCCCGGCGCCCGGGGACAAACTTTTCGATTTGCACCCCCCCCCCCCTCGAGATTTTGATTTGCACCCCCCCCCCCCCCCTCAAACTTTCAATTTGCACCCCCCTCAACCTTTCAATTTATTTTTCCAACCCATTTTGGCGCCCCCTAAGCTCGGCGCCCGGGGACATATGTCCCCCCCCCCGGCCCCCCCCCCCCCCCTCGCTACGCTACTGGACAGGAATAAGGCCAAGAACAGGGTCGAGATTATTGTCAAGTATAAGAACACGTGCTATATCTTGTGCTAGTACTTGGACTAGTCTGGAACATGGTCAAGGTTAAGGGCATAATCACGAACTAGGTTTAGGGTTATGTGGTATATTTTAAATAGTGGTGTATAATAATATATTTTTTAAAATCATTTATTTTCTCCTTTATAGGGCATTATTACATAAAAGCTAATTATTAAACGTTTTTTATGCATTTTTATCAGTACTTTAAATATAGTTGCATGACTAAAAACTATTGCTCACCAAATGAACATGTTAAATGTATTGGTCATCCAACAAAGTTAAATTTAATATCATACTGCATTGTCATCGAGTCTTGACCACGT